CAAACTAAACTATTGTCATTCAATGGCTTTCCTTCATTCCAACCTAGTGGATTTTGTCCCTCATTTCAATATATCAATGTAAACAGCAACGTCAAATTCAGAACAAAATGAAGTCTGACAACACAACGTCTTCTGTATCTAATACTGAACAGAAATTATTTATAACAACATGCGTGTGCAACCCTTTAGTGTCTTTACTCTGTGTTAATTTATTTATCCAGTCCTTTACTGGAGTTCCTCCTCAATGTCTACAGCTTTAAAGGTGGGAAACATCTGTGGGCACTTCAGATGGCTGTGGTGGTGGGTTGGGTGGCTGGTGGGAGTGGTGGGAGGTGTGGTTGCTTCTTACTACAGCATCTCATTGTGCTTTGGGACAGGCTGCCTCAGATCGCTGTGTGGCACCAACATGGGTGCTGAGGATTGATGGCCAGAAGATCAAACCTGTTGTTGCAGGTGCCTCCCTCATGGACACCTTTCTCAGTCACGTCATCAGCACTCTTATGGCACTGTGGGAGAATAGTTGTAGTGATGTGATGTGATAGTTTAGGACTCATTGTCAACACTGGGCCTGAGGCCTAGGCAACAATTATCTGATCCTTAAGTACACTGCCATGAAAGCCATCAGCAGAAGATCCACTGATACGTTTATTAAGCTGATCACTTACTCATGCTTTGCATGAAACCCGTGAAGCAAGACTTTCCGTATGAAATTATTAGTCGCAGGCTACTTAGTCCATCTAGCACTTCTAATGTATGCCAGTTAGTCTTCTGCAGAGCTTGGCTCATTCAACTCTATATCTATATTCTGCAGTGGAGCTTGTGTGCAATATCAGCCTCGGACAAGTTGGCACTTGTGGTGTCTGATTTTCCCGCCCTCCATCTGCACACTTGTGACAAATGAATTCAATATATGAAGACCTAGCTTCCCTGGTGTCAGTCTCTGAAGTGGTTCCTGCTAAGGCCAGCTCAAATGACACCACACCTTCAAGTAGGCTAGTTTCTGTTCCTCAGTGTGACAGGGAAGACAACATATTTCCCATTTATAAGATGTGGACATCTCTGGCTGGACCAGCATTTGTTGCCCACTTCTAATTGCCCTAGATGAGTTGGTGTTGAACTGCTTTCTTGAACTGTTGCTGTCCATTTGGTGTATGTAGACCGAGAGTGTTGTTAGGAAGGATGTTTTAACTCAGTGACAGTGATATAGTTCCAAGTCAGGATGGTTTGTGTCTTTGTGACGAAACAGCAGCTGCTGCCCTTGTCCTTGTAGGTAGTAGACATTGCAGGTCTAGAAGTTGCTGGTTAAGAAGCCAATGCCTTCTGTAAGTGATATAAACAGTTTCCATCAGTGGTGAAGAAAATTACTGCGTGCCAATCATGTGGGTTGTCCTGTCCTCAAAAAAAAGTTACTCAACTGAGAGGAAGAAAAGAAATTTAAGTTTTACCATGAAGAGAAAGCAGGAATAAATGAATGGATGATGAATCAGAACTAGTTTGCCTAGGATTGTGCAGAGATAGGAGCAAGAAGGGTAAAAGTAACATGATACAACATCTCCTTCAACATTGCTACTCATTTTGGCCATGATTCTGCCCCTCCCTGAGATGACCTATGTTTCATTCCACAGGAAATTGACCTGCAGCCAGGCTGAGCTTCCTTTGGCCCAGCCTCTTATTACATGTCATTCAAGATTTTCTTCTACAAGAAAAACAGGAGAGCCCTATGCTGACATTATTCTGAATTAGTTGTTGTGTGTGTCATGATCAAATAGTTTGTATGTTGTCCGTAAGAGGAAGTGCAGGTTGCATTCATGATGAAAGTAAGAAGTGCAGAATAAGTGAGTCAGAGGAGAAAGAGGTGGATTGAAATGTCATGCAATGACTTTTAGAGAGTGAAGGTTAACAGGGAGCGGGACACCTTGTGAACAATGAGGCTGAATGTGGTGGATTTGAGCAAAGAGTATGCAGGATGAGAATTAAGATACTGAGCTTGACAAGTTTGGTGAGGTTAAGAACATTTCCCTGTATCACATCCATGGCCTGGGAACTAAACTCATGTCATTAAGCGCATCTGCAATCTCTTTCCACTGAAATGAAATGACCAGCTGCATGTACCACACACTGTCCCACTGGCAAACCATCCCCACCCATCCCACCTCTGTGACTGTTTTAGAGCACAACTGAGTTTTTAGGCACTTGTGTTGAATGATTTCAGAAGACTTATTTCCTTCATTAGCTGTATTTCTTCACTGTTACTTGAAAGTGCCTCCTGATATTCATCCAGATTTTTGAAGTTCATGACTGTGTTCCCTTCTCTGGTAGTCAGGACTTAATTTCAAAAATAATGTCCCAAATTTAGCTTAGCATTTTAAAAAAATATATCATTTACCTTTCGTTGAAAGGTCTTACCTGGTGCAGCACTTTCCTGTTAGCTTATTCATTGCTGTACATGATATTTGGACATGTTTATTTTTGAGTCCTCCATTGCTCCTAAATCTCTTTCAGCTAGTTCTGCAATGACCGTTTAATTGGGTTGTACATTTGTCATCACCAAATTTAATCTGTCATTATTCTACCTATTTCCAAATTTTCTCCTGCAACTTTTGTAGTCCCTTGAATCCCTCAACAAACGTAACTGCTGCCTTCAGCCTTCCTGCTACCAGATAACAAGATAGACTCAAAGTGATTCGTAATAATATAAAACATGTAGGAATGTTTGAGAGTTATGATAAAGCATCAAATGAACACAAAGCATTCCTTTATATAAAACAAAGAACTGTGGATGCTGAAGGAAGAAATAGCAAGACATCTGGATATAAATTGTCCCATTGGAAACACCCAGCATGGGTTCATGAAGGGTAGGTCATGTTTAACTAATTTGGTGGAATTCTTTGAGGACATTACTTGCATGGTGGACAATGGGGAACCTGTGGATGTGGTGTATCTGGATTTCCAGAAGGCATTTGACAAGTTGCCATACCAAAGGCTGCTACATAAGATAAAGTTGCATGGTATTACAGGTAATGTATTGGCATGGATAGAGGATTGGTTGACTGGTAGAAAACAAAGAGTAGGGGTAAATGGGTGTTTTTCTGGTTGGCGGTCAGTGGCTAGTGGTGTGCCTCAGGGGTCAGTGTTGGGATCGCAATTGTTTACAATTTACATAGATGATTTGGAGTTGGGGACTAAGTGTGGTGTGTCAAAATTTACAGATGACACTAAGGTGAGTGGTAGAGCTAAGTGTGCAGAAGACACTGAAAGTCTGCAGAGGGATATAGATAATCTAAGTGAATGGGCAAAGGTCTGGCAGATGGAGTACAATCTTGATAAGTGTGAGGTCATCCATTTTGGTAGGAATAACAGGAAAATGGACTATGTTTTAAATGGTAAAAAATTGCAGCACGCTGCTGTGCAGAGGGACTTGGGTGTCCTTGTGCATGAATCGCTAAAAGGAGGATTGCAGGTGCAGCAGGTAATTAAAAAGGCTAATAGAATTTTGTCTGTCATTGCTAGAGGGATGGAGTTTAAAAACAGGGAGGCTATGCTGCAGCTGTTTAGGGTCCTGGTGAGGCCACACCTGGACTACTGTGTGCAGTTTTGGTCTCCTTGCTTGAGAAGAGATATACTAGCATTGGAGGGGGTGCAGAGGAAATTCACTCGGTTGATTCCAGAGTTGAGAGGGTTGGATTATGAGGAGAGACTGAGTAGACTGGGAGTATACTCATTGGAATTCAGAAGAATGAGGGGAGATCTTATAGAAACATATAAGAATATGAAGGGAATAGATAAGGTGGAGGCAGGGAGGTTGTTTCCGCTAGCAGGTGAAACTAGGACTAGAGGGCATCGCCACAAAATAAAGGGAAGTAGATGTAGGACTGAGGTCAGGAGGAACTTCTTCACCCAAAGGGTTGTGAATCTCTGGAATTTCTTGCCCAGTGAAGCGGTTGAAGCTACCTTGTTTTTAAGGCAAGGCTAGATAAACTTTTGAACAGTAAAGGAATTAAAGGTTATGGCGAGTGGGTGGGTAAGTGGAGCTGAGTGTCAAAAAGATCAGCCATGATCTTATTAAATGGCGGGTCAGGCTCGAGGGGCCAGATGGCCTAATCCTGCTCCTAGTTCTTATGTTCTTATGAAGAGCTAGAAAAAAATTGATATTTGCTGGCAAAACTCAATAGGTCTGGCAGCATCCGTGGGAAGAAAGCAAGAGTTAAACGTTTCACGTTTGGTGATTCTGCATCGGAACAAACTATTCTTTTCTTTTTTCTGATCATCTATGAATTTTACCAAATTCTAATTTATTCCTGAATTACTTCAAGTATTTTAGGCAAGGCAGGGGCCCTATTATTAGCACAGTACATTTTAAAGACCTATTCTGTTCCTAATTAATTGATCTCCCTAGCTTGCTTATTTTACAGCCACCTTCTAAAAGCTATCAGCTTTTGCTGTGGATAACTACAGACTTAAGCTTGTGCAGCAGCTTTTTGAGTGGAAACTTATAAAGATCATGTGAGGAACCTTGAGCACAAACCCACATCCTTTCATTTTGCACTGCATCTCTGCATTATCACCCACGACATCACTACTTGATGTAGATTTAATGTTTTCAGATTACTTGTGTAACATGTGGGAGTGCAATGACACTTAAGTTTCAGAGATTTTGTGGCCATGCCTTGCAACATGTAAGCTGATAATTCAAATGAATAACAGCTAATATTGATGATATCAGTGTAGAAATGTACCTTCAAAATCAATCCTATGAGCCGGTTATATGCAGTAGCACTCTGAAGGTTGCAAAGAAAGCTTGCACCATATTGTGGGTGTACAAAAGTTTACAATTAAACTTAAAAATAAAGGTATCACGTTTAAATTGGTAAAGGGAAGTATTACTTTCAAGTTTGCATTTCTACTTACTTGATCAGAGAAAGTGGACGAAGAATGTAAGTACAATGGAGCATTTAATTATTAGCACTAATCACATCTAAATTGTGTCAAATTCATTTCAGTACCACTCAAAAAGCCTGAATCATCTCCTGAAAGCTTACTATCTATGACTGGAGCCACTGCAGCACCTGAACAAGACTGGTAAACAATACATTTTATTTTATTTAAGTAAAGTCAAAGTATTGTGGTTATTGCTGAGGAGGTAAAAAGAAAACTTTTGTTTTAAATAGAGTAATAGCAGTAAACTATGAAGTGTGGGTCGCATCATCCCTATGCCCTCCCCTATCACTCTTTGCATAAAATATTTTAATACTTAATCTCTACTTTTTAACGAATGTGTTAAGATATATCATATATTTTTGTGTCATGGATGTGTCTAAAGATTGTACATCAAAATCATATAATCCTCTGAGTAGGCCCAGGGTTCTAGTGTGGCCCATCTTTCCATCCTCTAGGTCAAGTGCACATAAACACATATGTCAAATCTGTGGTAACTTCATAGCTATAAATGTTCTCTCACAATACCGATATAACTGTGGGATCAGATTACTGACAGCTTGATTGAATTGGTAATATTCTTATCTTTAAGTACAAAGTTGTGACAGGATGTGACCACACAATTCTGCCTTCAACATGGAGGAAAACAGCCAACGTGGTCGCCAGATTTGCTATTTTTTTAAAAAGTTTTTATTTAATTACACAGGTTGATTTTACAAATTACACCATTCTTTATAGATGATATTTTCACTATTACATTTGGCTTCTCCAAAACAAAATTATTTTTAAGAGCGTTGCTGCTATTTAGTTGGAGAGAGACATAATCAAAGGGAAAGGCTTTCAACAGAAACATGTATAAAGGATATCTGGGTCAAACACATTGATCAGTTTTGATATAAATAATCTCTAGTGTTGCATAGTTACATAATTGACCCTGTCTTATATCATAAACCTCATATTTCTGCATGTAATATGAGTTTCCTTAAAATAGGCCTTACCTTCATGTGAGAAAGTGAAAATGTCTGACAACAGTAATGTTCATATGCTTGCTAAAACTTTTGGGATTTTATTTGATATGTGAAAGAAAATGAAAATGAAAACAATTTCCCATGACAGTAATTTCTGATTCCCAGATTCTGTGTTTTGCTATAGGCTGTTCTTACGAGGGCCTCCTCAAATGAAGTTAATGAGCAAAATATCTTTATATAAATTCAATGGAGATGGCATCCTGGATCAAATTGAAATAATTGGTGGGAATTCAACTGGAATATTCATTCACAAAATCAAACCTGGATCTCCAGCATATAACTGTGGCCTTGAGCCAGGATTTCAGATCATGATGGTAAGGTTACAGGCATGCTTGTGTACACTTTTGATCCTCATTCCTTATCACTGAAACTGAATTAAAATGTAGACAGTCAAATGCTGTGTGTTATGCCTTGGAGATATGCAGAAATTACTCCAGTATCTATATCCAGAAAGGACTTTATTCAATAGTTAAAATGTCTGCTGTCATGCTTGCTGCTTTTCATTCGGTGTGATTTTTAATAGGGTACAGGGAATTTGATGAGTAAAAGGCAATTTTATTCTCGTTCTAAGAATCTAATCTTATCTACATTTCACACATAATGCTTATTGAACTTGACTATTTAAATTCTAAGGAAGTCACTTGTGGTATTGGTGGACAGCCCCCCTAAGAGTTAACATATAAAGAAGGAAATAATGGGAGCTTGTTAGAAAGGCATGATGAAAGTCATGGAGGATTTTAATTGGCAGATGGACAAAAAGCCCAGATGAAGAGTTTGTAGAATGTTTTCAGGTTAGAACAACTCATTCAGGAAACAACCTGATAGCAGATTATGCTTGATTTGGTTTTGTGCAATGAGATAGGATTAATTAATTACCTCATAGTGAAGGTGCATCTAGGTAGTGGTGACCCTAAAAGGATTGAATTTCCATGCAGTTTGAGAGATAGAGAGAGAGAGAGAAAGAGAGTGCAAGATTAGTATTTTAAACTAAAATAAGGACAATAATGAGAGCATGGTAGCAGAACAAGTTAACATGAATTATCAAATTTGGTTAAGGAATTGGCAAATAGAGATGCAGTGGCCACAATTTATAAGGATGTTTCAGAATACACAGTATTTCCAACGAGAAACAAAAATTCCAAGGGGACGACCCACCATCTGTGGTTAAGTAAAGAAGTTAGAGATAGTATCAAACTTAAAAAGATTCACAAAGATGGTGGCAGGCTTCGATAGATTGGATAGAATATTGAATACAGCAAAGAATAGTCAAAAGATCAGTAAAATTATACTACGTCAAAAGGCTAGCTAGAAGTACAAAAACAGATAGGAAGAGTTACTCTTTCAAAAAAAGTGAATGAAATAAGTATTGGTTCTGTTGAAAGTGAGTCTGGGGAATTAGTAGTAGGAAATAAGGAGACAGGTAGATGAATTGAACAGTGGGGGTGGCGTGAGTTCAGTTGCATGGGCAATTATGGGAAAAGCTAAAGGGGGAAGGGCTTAGCAGAGATTATTAAAGTTTCCAGAAAAAGTAACAGGACAGAAAGTATGGAATTGATCAGGAAACTAACTTCAGGCACAGCAGATAAGGGAATAATTATGACAAGGAAGGCAGTCGACACAGGACTGAGGGTGTTGTACTTAAATGCATGCAGTATATGAGAAAAGGTACAAGTAGGTTCTCCTATAAAGTGATAGTTGCGTCCTTGTGTGACCTTGCGCTGTAGAAAATCACGCTTTGGAAAATCGCCGTAGAAAATTGCGTTATAGAGAAATTGCTATAAAAAATTGCTATATCTGTACAGCAGAAAGTTTGTGTTATCCAAACAGCATCCATAATTCATCAATCGCGTTACAGCCAATTCGCATTAACGAAACACACGTTATAGCAGACCTATCTGTAAATGAGTTTGTAGCACTGATTGAAATTGGCAGGTAAGATGATGTGGGTATCACAAAGATGTGGCTGCAAGGGGATCAAGGCTGGGAACTAAATATCCAAGGATACACATCCTATGGAAAGGACAGGCATATTGGCAGAGGGGCGGGGTTGCCTTGTTAGTAAAAAACAAAATTAAATCGATAGCAAGAAATGGTATCGAGTTAGAAGGCAAAGAATCTGTGTGGGTAGAGTTGAGGAAGTGCTAAGGAAGAAAGACCCTGAAGGGAGTTGTGTACAGCCCTCTTAGCATTAGTCAGGATGTATGGAAGAAAATAAATCCAGAGCTAGAAAAGGCATGTATGAAAGACACTATTACAATAATCATGGTGGACAGTGAAAATTAGGTTGGTAGTCGATCTCAAGAAAACAAACTTGTGGAATGTATATGAGATGGGGTTTTTTTGGAGTAGCCTGTGGTGCAACTCACAAGGGACAGGCAGTTCTGGATTTGGTGATGTGTAATGAGGCAGACTTGAATAGGGAATTTAAGATGAAAGAACCCCTCGGTGGCACTGACCATAAGATGAGAGAATCCACCCTGTAATTTGAGAGGGAGAAGCTGGAATCAGATGAAACGGTATTACAATTGAGTAATGGTAACTACAAAGACAAAAGGGAGGAGCTGGTAGGGAAGTCCAGCAGGGAAGATGGTGGAGCAACAATGACAAAAGTTTCTGGGGATAGTTTGGAAATTACAGCAGAAATTCATGTCAAGGAAGAGGAAGCATGCTAAGGGAAGGATAAGGTAACCATGACTGACAAGAGAAGTTATGGACAGCATGAAAGCAAAAGAAAAAGCATGCAATGTAGTGAAGATTAATAGAAACCAGAGGATTGTGAAGCCTTTAAAAAAGCAGCAGATAATAAAAATTATTAGGATAATAAAGAAAAGCAATAACGGGGGAAGAAGATGAAATATGAGAGTAAGCTAGCTAGTAATATAAAAGAACATATAATCCCTACAGTACAGAAAGGGGACATTTGGCCCATTAAGTCTGCATCAATCCTCCAAAGACACCTAATCTGCACATCCTAGGACACTACGAGGCAATTTTTAGCGCATAGATACAGAGAGAATGTGTTAACTCCACACAGACAGTAACCCAAGGCTGAGACGGAATGCAGATCCCTGGTGTTGTGAAGTAGCACTCTGCCACTGAGCAACTGAGCCACCAAGAAGATTACAAGAATCATTTTTAGATATCTAAAAGGTAGGAGGGAGGCAAGAGTGGACATTGAACCACTGGAAAAGAAGGCTGGAGAAGTACTAATGGTGAACAAGGAAATGGCAGCGGAACTGGTACTTTGAATCAGTTTTCACGGTGGAAGACACCGTAGCATACCAGAACTTCAAGAGAGTCAGGAGGCAGAGGTGATTGTAGTGACCATCACTAAGGAGAAGGTGCTGGAGAAGCTGGAAGGTCTGAAGGTGGATAAAACACTCAGACTGAATGGACTTCAACCCAGAGTTCTGAAGGAGATGGCTGAGAGGATTGTAGAGGCACTGGTGATTATCTTTGAGGAATCACTGGAGTCAGGGAGGGTCACACTGAAACGGAAACTGGCTAATGTAACACCCCTGTTTAAGAGGGGAGGGAGGCAGAAGACAGGAAACTATAGGTTGGTTAGTCTGACCTCAATTGTTGGTAAGATTTTAAAGTCCATTATTAAGGAAGATTTTGATGAGTCCTTGGAAGTGCATTGTAAAATAGGGTTGAGTCAGCACAGTTTCATCAAGGGGAGGTCATGCCTGATAAATCTGTTAGAATTCTTTGAGACAGTAGTGAACAAATTAAAGAAAGGAGAACCAATGGACATGATCTATTTGAATTTCCAGAAGGCCTTTGACAAGGTAGTGCTAGGGGTAAGGTACTGTCATGGATAGAGGATTGGCTGACTGGCAAAAGGCAGAGAGTAGGGATAAAGGAATCATTCTGAGGAAGGGTCACCAGACCCGAAACGTTAACTCTGTTTTCTCCTCCACAGATGCTGCCTGACCTGCTGAGCTTTTCCAGCAGCTTTGTTTTTGTTCCCGATTTACAGCATCTGCAGTTCTTTTGGTTTTTATAAAGGAATCATTCTCAGGTTGGTGGCTGGTGGCTAGTGGAATTCCAGTGGGGGGGCGGTGGTGCAGGGGTGCGTGTTGGGATCACAACTATTTACATTGTACGTTAACGATCTGCACGAGGAAACTGAAGGCACTGTTGCTAAGTTTGCAGATGACACAAAGGTGGGTGGAGGGACAGGTAGTGTGGAGGAAGCGGAGGGGCTGCAGAAGGAGTTATGGAGAGGCTAGGAAAGTGTGCAAAGAAATGGCGATGGAATACAATGTGAGAAAGTCAGTGGTTCGCACTGCTGCCTCACAGCACCAGGGACCCAGGTTCGAATCCACCCTCGGGTGACTGTCTGTGTGGAATTTGCACATTCTCCCCGTGTCTGCATGGGTTTCCTCCGGGTGCTCCGGTTTCCTCCCACAGTCCAAAGATGTGCAGGCTAGGTGGATTGGCCATGCTAAATTGCACGTAGTGTTCAGGGATGTGTAGGTTAGGGGGATGGGTCTGGGTGGGATGCTCTGAGGTCAGTGTGGATCTGTTGGGCCGAAGGGCTTGTTTCCACATTGTAGGGATTCTATGGATTCTATTCTAAAGTTTGAGGTGAAGCCCTTTGGTGGGAAGAATAGAGGCATAGACAATTTTCTAAATGGGGAAAGGCTTTGGAAATCTGAAGCACAAAGGGACTTGGGAGGTTTAGCTCAGGATTCTCTTAAGACTATCATGTAGGTTCAGTTGGCAGTAAGGAAAGCAGATGCAATGTTAGCATTCATTTCAAGCGGGCTAGAATACAAGAGCAAAGGTGTATTGCTGAAGCTGTATAACGCTCTGGTCAGATTGCATTTTGAATATTGTGAGCAATTTTGGGCCCCCAATCTAAAGGGAATGTGCTGGCCTTGGAGGGGGTCCATATGAGGTTTACAGGAATGATCCCAGGGATGAGGGCTTGTCATATGAGGAGCGCTTGAAGACTCTGGGTCTGTACTCAGTGGAGTTTAGAAGGAGGAGGGGGGATCTCATTGACCCTTACAGAATACTGAGAAGCCTGGATAGAGTGGACATGCAGATGTTTCCATTAGTAGGAGAGACTAGCACCTGAGGACAAAGTATCGGATTGAAGGGATGACCCTTTAGAAGTGAGATGATGGGGAATTGCTTCAGCCAGAGGGTGGTTAATCTGTGGAATTCATTGTCACAGGGGGCTGTGGAGGTCAAGTCATTGGGTGTATTTAAGAGAGAGATAGATAGGTTCTTGATTAGTAAGGGTATCAAAGGTTACAGGGAGAAGGCAGGAGAATAGGCTTGAGAAACACATCAGCCATGATTGAATGGTGAAGCAGACTTGATGAGCCAAATGGCCTAATTCTGATCTTATATCTTATACTCTTTTATATTTTGCATCAGTCTTCATTATGGACGCTAGAGGTAAGCACCCAAAAATAACTCTAAATAAACTGGTAAGTGGTACTGAGCAAATTGTTGGAGCTGCAGGGGACAAATCCTCAGGTCTGTTGAACTTCATCCGAGGGTCTTAAAAGAAGTAGCTAATGAGATAATGATGTATTGCTTTTAATTTTTCAGAATTTTCTAGATTTGATTAATGCTCCATTAAGTTGGAAAGTAGAAAATGCAACTCCTTTATTCAATAAGGGAGGAAGACAGAAAGCAGGAAATTACAGGCCAGTTGATTTAATACCTGTCAGAGGGAAGGTGTTACATTATTAAAGATCTTACAGCAACGTTCTTATAAAAAGATCGAGGAAATCAGAATCAGTCAGCAGGATTTTGAGAAATGCAAATCTTTTTAAACCAATTTATTAGAGTTCTTTGAGGAATTAACATGTGCTGTGGCTAAAGAGGAACCGGTGGATGTATCATAGTTAAATTTCTAGAAGGCATTTGGCAAGGTGCCACATCAAAGGCCATCATGAAAAGTAAAAGCTTGTGATAGCGTGAGTAGCGCAATGTATGGATAGAAGATTAGCTAGCTAACCGGAGACAGAGAGTAGGCATAAATGAGTAGTTTTCTGCTCAGCGTGATTGAGGATAGAAGTAAACTCCCAGAAATAACTCCAAATCAGGAATTCGCAGGGAATCGGTACCTAGCAAGTTGTTGGAACTGCAGGGGGTGCACAGTGGTGTGCTACAGGAATCAATACTGGGATCTCAGCTTATTACAATCGATATAAGTGAACTGACGTAAGATACTGCAGAGAGATATAGACAAATCAAGTGAATGGGCAAAGATCTGACATATTGAGACTAATGTGGGAAAATGTAACAATTGTCCATTTTGGCAGGAGGAATAGAAAAGAAACATATTCTCTAAATGTTGAAAGATTGCTGAGCATAGATGCAGAGGAATCTGGGTGTCCTCGTGCATGACTCGCAATAATTTATTGCGTGGGCATAGCAAGTAATTAGGAAAGCATGTAGAAGATTGTTTCTTATTCTGTGGAGAATTGAATTCAAAAATGGTAAGGTTATTGTTTCATTTATACAGATCACTGGTGAGACCACATTTGGAGTACTGTGTATAGTATTGGCCATCTTATCTAGGAATGTATATAAATGCAGTGGAAGCAATTCAAAGGAAGCTTCCTAGACTGACACTCAATGTTCCCTGTAATTTTTCTTGGACCTCTGAGATCTGAGTGCAGCAGGGTTCCAGAAGCAGAAGCCATTCATTGGTATACCATTCAATGTGCACAGAGCTATCCAGTGGCTGCATGACACACAAAGTAGAGGAAAAATTGCCCAACACCTGGAATGGGGGAGTTGTTTTATAAGGAAATGTTGGACCGGCTAGACTTGTTTTCACTATAGTTTAGAAGAGTAAGAGACAACATGGTTGAAACATGTAAGATCCTGACGGTTCTTGATTGTGTGGTTGTAGAAAGGGTGTTTCCTTTGTGGGAAAATCCAGAACTAGACATTACTACTTAAAAATAAGAGGTTGCTCATTTAAGATGGAGGTAAGTGGAAACTTTTACTTGCAGAGGGCTGCGAGTCTTTGGACCTTTCTCCTTCAAAAGGCTATGGAAGCAAAGTATTTGAATGTGTTTAATACAGTGTTAGATAGATTCTCGATTAGTAAGGAGGTGAAAAGTTATCAAGGGGTAGGCAGAAATTTGGGATTATTAGATCAGCCATGATCATATTGTATGACAGAGCAAGCGCAAGGAGACCAGTGGCCTGCTCCTGCTTCTAATTTGAATGTTCACATGAATGCAACAGTTTTTGTTTTATTTCAAAAATATACTTTATTCATAAAAAAAATCTTACATGTACACATAATCGCAAACATAGTTCGGTTCTGTATATCAAGGAAACAACCAAAACATTGGAGTTTGACTCTATCCAACAAGCAAACAAACCGAAAGCATCTCTTACTTGTACAAGATTAAATTTACATGCATTTGAGGCACTAGGAAAATCTGATAACTGAACAGACCCCCATTTAACTTTGGCAGAAGGACCTCAAACAGTGGTCTTTACCCACTTTTTTTAATTTCATACAAATTTTATACACTTTTTTTATTCATACAAAATATTTCGATATATATTTTCTTAGTCACAAATGCAGTTCAACAGTGAAGTGACGCAGAGGACAAATCAAAAGTGAGGCAAATATTGGTAATGCTTCTTTGACCACTGTTGTGAAAACAGATAACTCATTAAAGTCATTCTTACGATGGTTTATGCATGCTGAGACTTTTATTATCTCCATCCAATGGATCTGTCTTTCATGATAATTCAATTTTAAATGAACTGTATATGCTACCAGTGAACACATTTTGTACATGCAAGGGATGTGTTTTGATTTTCAAATATTTGAAGTTACGTTCCTGTGTTGTGTGTGACACGCTGGAGACTTTTAGCTGTAAAGTTTACACTTGGACTTTCAGTTCTGCAGATGGTCAGCTCCCTGCTTTGACCCTGCCACAGTGGAGAGGCTGTGTGAAGTTTTGTCTTTCTTGTACTCCTTCAATTGGTCAAAAATGTTTGAGTGAGTCATTAGCTTTCTCTCTTAGCAATAAAGAGTTTTGCAGCGGGAAAGGATCTATGTATATGGGTTCAAAGAGAGAGAAAAGAAAGTAATGAGCCCGATTGGCCATGAAGTTAATGAATGCATTCTCAAAATGCATAGCTCTGTGAATTTTTAAATGATGAATTTTTGTTTATGATATAAGGAGTCAAACATTTTAAAAACTGTATAGAATATTGATTTCATCTCCCCAGTTTCAGGGATTCTGATTGCTCGGAGGTACGTTTTTGGAGATATAAATTTATCATTGCCTGAAATTGGGCTTGGGGAGGGAGGTCAAGATGGCTCAGGGCACTGGGTGACTGATGGCATTGGTGTTGGTTAGAAAAATAAGGGTGACAGCTAGCAAATGTCCCGTGATATTGGCAGAAGTACACCTGCTCTTTCTGGCTCCACACGAATTTAAAACTCCCAAATTAAAAGTTACATTTTTGGTGGTGACCAGATTCAGAATACATCCATGCCTGCAGAATCTGCCCTGGTGCCTGGTCCACTCTGAGCAAACCTAGAGGAGTCCTGACATAGCTGATGGAGCTGCAAAGGATCTAATACCTATTTTAAATTGCCAAGTTAGAATCATATGAGGCTGAAATGGTGTGGATGTTTTTTAGGTGTCCATGGTGTGCAGACTATAGCTATCTGGAAATCTGTACTCCTCAATTTCTGGGTCATGTAGAGAGGTGAGCTTCTGAGTTCAATCTTCAGGCTGTGCTGCCTTAGCTGATTTTTCAGTAGAATTAAGGGTAAACTTTATAGGTCTAGATGTAGACCAGGGCAAAAAAGACAGAAGTCCAGCTCGATGCTATATGTGCAGTTGAATACATGCCTGCATGGGGAGAGGCTGAGCCAGATAGTCTACCAACACACATTATTTAAACATACATAATGAGTGTCTGTGCAACCATTGTTCACAGACTAAGTGTGACTTCAAGACTAGAGGTGGGTTAAAAAGGAAAGAGTTGCTACTTTCACCTCTCAGCTCAAGTAGAAATTAATTTCCTTTCCCTACTTTAACACACCTCTGAACACTCCTCTAAATTCTCACTTGTTCTTGTAATATTGACAATGCCTTGATGTTGCATTAATTTGTGCTTATAAGTCAATGACCAAAATGACAAGGTTACAGGGATGTTGTACACACCTTTTTCTAATTTTTCTCACATTTGTAGAACCATGTTTCCTTTCAAATTATTTCACATACTTCATTCAATCAGTCACCTTTATAACAAAATGCATCTTCAGTTGAAATTTAACTTCCATGAGAATATATCCCACAGGTGCTGGTGGTATTCCAAAATCAAATCTCGATGATAAAGTGTTCCTCAATTTCTAACATCATAGTTGGACTCTAATATAGTGTCAATATCTACCTGTACTATTTTCAAATCAATTCCTTGGCTTCCATACAAATCTTGATATACAAAAGCAGTTTCATAAATGCACTGATTATGTTGAAAATGGTATTGTTTGGCTATATAGGACTGACATTTTTTTGGAAGACTAATTTGATTAATTTGCAGGTGGAAAATAATGACAGAGATCCAAAAAAGACTGTACTGGAGGATGCCAGTTTGGAGGAGGCTGTTTGGACCTTGAAGCAAATTAAAGGGATGTGTTCTTTAGCCATAAGGCATAAGGGAGAAGGTGAGTTCAACAACAAATGAGAAGAAATGCCCTGTCCTGAATCTAATAGCCAGCAGGTATATTAAGCAATCCATGCCACATGTATTGCCAGCGTAATCAAATATACCGTCAATGATTTCAGAAAAGATCAAATTGATGAAATTTTATTCAGAAAACTATTATAGAGACCTGAACCCTTTAAAACACCAATTATAAACAGTAATTAATGTTGTCTATTTTGTGCTGTTATTTGTTATTTCAATTTGCATTTGGTTAGATTATTAGATTTGCTGGTTCATAAGAGTTATTGGAGTTAGTAGTGTAAGAAACCGCATATTTTTGTATAGCACCTGTTACATAATAAAGTATCCACAGAGCACTTCATGGGAACATTACACAACAAAGTATAACATTGAACTGCATAAGGTGATATTAAAGGCTGCTAGATTTTAAGGAGTGCCTTGGAGGAACAAAACAATGTATACAGCCACGTAAGTGTAGGAAGGAAAATTCAGAACTCGGGGCCAAGTCGATTTGAAACAAAGATGAGAATTTCAATGTTTGGCCGGAAGCCAATTACGTCACTGAACACAAATGCTAGGTGACTGGGACTTGGTGAAATTCTTGTCAGTTAATCCACATTGGCTCACTAACCTTTCCAAACCACCATCTGCTTGTTAGATGATAACATTCACAAAATTGTGAGAATGAAACTAAAGTAAGTTTGAATTAATTACAATTCAACAATTGTGCAAGAAAATCCAATTGATAAGACTTTTTAAAAGTATGAAATACAAATGCTTATTGGCCTCTGGCTAATTATCATATTGCAGTGATTTGGAATTATGATAGGATAAATTTTTAAACTAAACTGCACATACATTTAATTTGATATTCCTTTTAATGGGATGTGAAGGTGTTGTACAACTGGCAGAATAGAATCACAGTAGTAATTGTTTTTTCAATTTGGAATGTCTTCTGGCTGACTTTGGAGTATTTTGCCAGCCAAAAGAGACTGTGTGGATGAGGAAAAATAAACTGAATTACCCAATATTGGATAAATAGCAGTGTTGGCATCTTAACTAGACTTACTCATCCACATTACTGTGGAGCATACATTGTTAGGCAGGAAAAAACAAAATCACAAGTTTAAGTCCCATGACTTGCTTGATATTGTGCATTTCAAAATTACCACAATCTCCCTAAATCAATTTCAAAGTTTTCTTTTAACCCCAGACATAGAACTATACCTTCCAACACCAGGTACATCAACCTCAATTTTGCTGTATGAATTTATGGACTTTGGGGAATTAAAATGTAGACAGATGGATGTTTTGACTATAAGTTAATCATCAGGGCATGTGATTGTTTTCCACTCATGAACCATATTTTTCATGGCTGTAACAAGCATTTAAGCAAATTTCCAGCACTTGGACAAGTCACATTACATATGGCAAGCATGGTAACTCATTGATCTTATGCCATACCAGATTATTTGTTCTATTTGTGTATTTTTCTCTTCAGATAGAGAAAATCAGAAATACAGTGAATCAGGAATATATTAAAAAAAACTCTGTATGCCCCAGTACAATTTGAAAACTTTGCTCAATTTTCATAGCTTATTTGATCTGAATTTTTTTTCATATAAAACTATCTGCTTGATCTGTCACATTAGAATTTAGGCAAAAATTTTAAACCTCCTGTATTTTTGTACCTTCAGTTCAATGTCCATGTTGATGTTAAGCTGTGATATAATAAAATACAACAAACAGCATATGTTGTGTGTTTTGTTTAATCAGCATATCAAACATTGGCGGAAAATATTAAGAAGAAGATTGCTACCTCGGGTGATTCGTTCTACATCCGCGTCAATGTTTCATTTGATAAGGAAAGTGGGGCTATTGGAGAATTTACTGTTCAGTGCAATGAAATCCTGCACATCACTGACACCATTCACAAAGGCAATAATGAGTGGAAAGCGTTCAGAGTGAATCGGAACACAATGGCAGATATGGAAGGTGGAACTATTCCAAATTACTATTGGTAAGTATGTCATGTTGATGAAGATTTCAGCTTTGGAAATCCATCTGGACTATAATAAATGTTTTTAATTTAAAGCATTGCAGCATTTTTTTTGAAAGGAATGAATGCTGATGGTAATTTTTTGTACACACCATGTATATACATTTTGTTGTCTTACAAACTGGTTGCTTCAAGCTGTGGAACTATAGCCTGTGATCTATTTTTTGCATCCTCTTTTGGAGAGATGTTAAGCCAAGGTCAACCATTTGACGCTGCCTCCTTAATGCTGCGCAAATAATGGAGCTTTGACAGGATCATGACATAGGAAAGTCAAGCTTGCACTGCTGCACTCTGTGACACTATGCATTAAAAATCAAAGTATTGCCTGCCTTTAAAAACAAAAACTGAAATTTCAGACTTCCAGCATCCACAGTTCTTGGTTTTACCTGGACTTAACATGTTTTGCTGTAGGAGAAAATTGTTCCTTCCCTTTGACCATCTCTGTCTTGTGTTCCTTGGTGGTATGTTTCTACACAGGGACAGTCAAAGCAAAACATTGCTGCTTGTTTATTTTTTATTCTGTTTTTACCTAGTAATTATATTCCGTATATCGTACATAAGAATATCCCATAAGTGAACAGTTACGGTAATTTTGTAATGCGCTGCTAGATGGTGCATTGCTTAGGGTGACCCAAATACTCAAATTTTTCCTTTGCTCATCATAGTATTAGGGACTTAGTCTGTGAGGATTAATGTTGTGAATCTGAGTATCATTATTCTGGAATAGTGCTTTAAGTCTGTTTTGCTTGACTGACGGAATCAGAACTGGCCGATGTGAGTAAGTCATATATTACTTTCAAGCTTAAACTTGACCTAGCTTACAAACTATAAATGAATTAAATTGAGGTTGCTAAATGCTTACCAACATGTAAGCCAACCGTATAGATCAGCAGGTTGCATGTTTAATGACTAGTCTGTGCTGACTGAACCACTTTCTTCCAGGTGGCACTTATGCACTAGAACCAGCTTCGGTAATCTTGGGTTTATTAATTTATCTTAAGTCAGTATGTTGTAGAAAACAAGAATGACTTTATTTGGTCTAAATATGATTAAAATATGGAATTCCACATCAAAAGCATCATTGTGTATTGGATGGTCAGACCTGTTGAGAAACAGCTCTGAATTTCTTCAGAAATAAAAACAGAAAGCACTGGAAAACTGCAGCAGGTCTGGAACCATCTGTGGAGATAGAAAGGTTAACTTCTGTTTGGAACGGTTCCAAAGTCAGAACTTTATTTTGCTCTCCATAGATGCCAGGCTTTCTGATTTTTTTTTTTTAAATTTCAGATCTCCAACATCCACACAGTATTTTGCCTCTAAATTCCCGAAAATTTTCAGGTTTGAGTCCTGAAATGTACTGAGTTAGCTACTGGTAAGGAGTGCTACAAATAGCCTCAGTTAAGGAGGAAACCCTATCCAGGATATCTAGTCCTGTAAAACAGTATCTATTTGTGTTCGGTCCAATAAAGATCTAAGTGTGAGTCTCTTGTTTCTATTTAGGGCTCAGCATTTGTTGATTGGAACAATTCGGAACATGATGCAACAGCCCCCATCAAGTAAAAAGGTGAGTGTAATGTTAATCAAACATATTTTAAAAGGGCTCCAAACCATTTCACTACTGAGATTTGATCAACAAAGAGGATAAGGTGGATTGGAAACCAAATAGTCAGACAAAAAAAGAATAGTTCCTGATCTTTTATGTGTTTGAATGTATGTTATGTCCTTTAACTTGAGGCCAGCTCAGTTACATGTATTCATTGAATGAATCGTATGGTGCTGCCTTACTTACGGTGCTGGATTTCAGCAGGGCCGTCCATAGCTTACACTTCAAAGTCCTATTGAACATAATGCATATGTAATCTAATAACGTTTTGTGGGTTTTCATATGTGGTAGGCAAAGCAGATAGATTTGAGAGAAATGATGTGGAATACATGGTACTGAATCAATTTGCTCCTGAGAAAGGCATATCTTAAAATAATTATGAATCACTTGTCATCGTATTTCATCCACCCTCCAAATGCTTCAATGACAAGTCTCTCTGTGTGGAAAGCATCTAGTTTTATGAATTAGGAAAGTTATGTTGCACTCTAGAGCTGCAAACTAAAAGCTGAGGTTGAGAGAAACTATTGACAACCAGGAAGTAGTGTTTGTCTCATGTCTTTTGGTGGCATACATGTTCCATACATATGTCTATGCACATTACACTGTGGTGTCAGTAAGGCAAATGCTTCTTAGCATAAGTCTTACTGGCTTAACTGTTTACTTTAAGTAATTTCACCCATTTAAAGTATCCATTACTTCATCACATGAACCATTTAACACGTTGAAAGTGTACAGAAATTATTTGCTGTTTTTCAGGTCACACACCATAGCCAACTGTTTCCCAATAATCTGTGCTGTGCTTGTATTTTCTAGCAAGGTTGGAAAAAGTCATCTTCAAACCAAAATAAGTTTATGAGAATAGTCAGCACTGAAATAAGTCAGAAAAATCCACACTGGTTATTGTTTGACTATGGTACCATTAATCCCAACAAAGAACAAGGTAAGAATTGAAGACTCCAATGTTCTATTATGTCAACACTTATTTTGTTACGACCTTATATGATCATTACTCAAATGGTCATCTCACCTTCCAGTAATAAACCTCTAATATAAGAAAGGCAAAGATGAAATTTAAGCACAAGATTGTTATTTCAATTTAAGATCCTTAACCTTTTGCGATAGTCTGACTGAACAGAAATATGTGATTTTCCCTCAATTCATTCTGTAAAGGTGACAGCGAGGAATCAGTGGGAATTGAGATGGCACTTTGAGTTCATCAAATGTTATCAGATGCTACCTCATATCATTCATGCTGACTGGGTCCCAGATTTCACATACAACACCACTCACTAGCTTTACTCCTCTTTTGTACTTGAATCTGAAAGGTGCAGTTATTGTTTCTATTTCTAACATTTTATTTTAATTTACTTTAGATGACAAGTCTCCTGGCAGTTGCTTTACATTAATGCCCTACTCACTGGTCAGGCCGTGCCATCCACCATCTCTGCGACCAGTGATAATAGCGCCCACTTGCATTGGAAAAGTTGTGCTTGAGAAGCTGAAGGACCTAGCCGAGTATGAGAAATGTAAATATGGTAAGGATCTTCTCAGCCATAAATATACCACATTTTGATAAAGTGAAGGAACAGAATCAATGATTAATTATAAATGTCAGTGAAGACTTCTCTGAGACAGAGGCATTTACCTTTTAGCCTCTATTTTAATTTCCTTCATTGTTGGAAATTAATGGAGGAAACTTTAGATCTGATATGGACCACACTACACTGAGTGTGCATGGTCCGAACAGCGAATTCTCGAAGTGATTTTTTTGACTGGTAGTCCATATTTTAATAAGCAAAGAATTTAGCTGTAAACCCAAGTGTTTATTTACCCACGCTGAAAGAAACTGCATTGATTAATATGGTTTCACCATGACACAGTTTTTACTTTAATACCATAAAACCAGAAGGAACAGAAAGATCATTTGGTCTCTTGAGCCTGCTCTGCCATTCAATGGAATCATGGCTGATCTGACATTTGCTTCATCCACTTTCATGTCCTTTCCCTATCATTTTCTTTCCATCATTGTTGTAATGTGCACCTGGTTCATGATAATGTGGCTCTTACCCAAAGTCCAGCAGCATGAAGGAATAAACGCAAGCCAAATTTCAGCACTCCTGAACAGATTCCTCTTTATTCAGCTCATTTTAGCCATTGACTGGCATCTCTGACTATGATAGCACATCTGACTAAGTGCTGCAGCCACGAAAGCAAAGAAGCTGTGGCTAAAAAAAGTAGGAAATCAGTTCCAAGTGTTGCTAGATGTGCTGCCTAGATTTGAGTGTGGTGAGTGAAACATGGATATCCAAAGAGCATTGGGTTTCAACTTCCAGAGCTGCATATGACATGCCTTCCACTTCCAGATAAGCAATCTTGTACCTTTGTCAAGAATCATTAAGAGATATTCTTTTTAAACATTCCAGTGTTTATTTTGGCATTTTATATTAACATTGCGCTTGTATTCTTTATTTGGTTGATGTTCTGGGAATATAACCTGAATCACATGAGTATCTATAGGAATAGGTACTTTGAATAACACAGTTTTGCTTAATGGGGTAACTACCGTGTTAATCCAGGATTAACTGTATTGTATCTAAAGAGCACAAGACAACACCCAAGATATTTTAATAGTTGTTTATAAAAATATAGATATATAGTAAAGACCTATTTAGTTTGTAAATTTCACGTATTGTTCATAATATTTAAATTACACTGAATTAGAACTTGTAATTTATTTTAGAGTGCTTGAATAGTACTGAGTATGCTGCAAAAGACAGAAAAGGAGATATTTTGGGTGTGATTGAAGTACAGAACCTACTTCGTTCCTGTTACACACGGACAGCTGTAGAAGCTGTAGTTGCTAAGGTAATATTGGTGCTTTCTGTTGTAACTGATTTGGATTTTGAATTTCTTTCACTGGACTTTTATGTGCACTTCTTGCTCTCTGATTATAATCCTTGTTCTTCATAGCCACTCTTTATCCATTGTTCACCTTCATCTGGATGGAAAAGACATAGGAATAGAAATAAGTCATTTGGCCCATCAAGTTTGCTTTGCCATTCAATGAGATCATGGCTGATCTGATAATCCTCAACTCCTCTTTCCTGCCTTTTCCCATAACCCTTGATTCTCTTACCGATAAATAAAATCTGTCTAAGCCTTGAGTATAATTACCAAACAAATCTCTACAGCCCTCTGTGGTAAAGAACTCCACAGATACACTATTCTCTGAGAGAAGAAATTCCTCCTCATCTCATCCTAACTTGGTGATCCCTTACTCTGTGATTATGCCCTCTAGACTTAAAGTCTTCCATGAGGGAAAACACCCCTCCGTTTCTACCCTCACAAAACCCTAAGAACCTTATAAGTTTCATTAAGGTCTCCTCTAATACTTCTAAATTCTACTGAGTCCAGACCCAAACTTATTCACATTCTCCTCTTAAGAAAAACCTTCCATCCCTGGGATCAAACTAGAGAACCTTTTTTGGACTGCATCCAACCCCAGTACATCTTTCCTTAGATAAGTGGACCAAAACTATTCCAAGTGTCAGTAAACGAATTAGCAAATTTTACTGAATTATGGAAGACAAATATAAGTGTCACAAAATGAGATTGAATTTATGAGTTTCTAATTCAGATCCATTCTCTACCACAAACAATACCACGTTTGTTTAATTATATGAACCTATTTGATAATGGTGTGCTTATATGTTTTATCTACCTCTCCTCAATAACAAATGAAACAATAGGATAAGCAACGCACATATATCGCTTCAAACTATCAAATATAAATAAATAACACGCTCCAACCAACATGAATTCCACCACAACTATTTAATCTTCCAAGGAAGAAAAACATACCTACTTAAATTTTATTTAACTTCAAGCCAACACCAAAAGAAGGTGAAAAGATAAGGAAGTATTATTGGATGACTAGGAGTGGAAAATGTTTCGAATGCTTCCGTTCCCAGCCTCATAATACTGATGCCAATTAAAGACAGTAACTCTCAAATAACCAAAGATAAAAAGGAGACCTTCCCTATTCATATGGCTCAGTACGTCTGTAGACAGTGTTCTTACCACTGAATTAATATGGAAAGTGTTGCGATGCATTTCTAACTTTATTTTTGTTTATATATTTGTTCTCTTTTATTTGTGATATTTGTCGTCTTTTTCCATGTCACTTGGCTTCCTCTCCAGAGGGTTCTTTCTCATCATTCAAGAACAGAGTTTAATAGATATATTGAACAACCCATCCAACACTCTCCTTCCCCACCCACCCAGTGCCTCAACAAAATGGATGTTTCTTATTGAGAAACCTTGGCAGTGGCCTTGGAGAGTGACCAACCCTTACTTCTGTTTTGAACTGGCAACAACATATACATGTTTCCTGTTGAGGTCACTGGATTATGTTCGGGAATGGAAACAGTGACTAAGATTATTACCCCAAAGCAGGAGAATTGGGTGAATTGTGATGTCCCTACCATTGCCTTCAGTAAGATCAGTTAATTCACCTTGGACCAGAGGTATTACCTGGGATCTTCTGAGTCAGTTAAATTTTGCTACTTGCTGCATTACTAGCTGAGCTATTGGGTGTGTGCTCCTAAGTTCTATTCACATGTGCTGTTGAGCTAATTGTGATTTGAGTTAATTGGTTTACAATCCGAAACAATAATTTAATATAAAGCATATTCTACATAATTCCATTGCTACTTTTCCATTTCTGTAAAAATTGATTGATTGAAAATAAAATTAAGAAGAATGTTTTGGCTTTCATCACGTTTCATTACAGAATGCCCACTGCCTGTTGCAACTTGGGCTGGATTGTGTGAAGCAATTACATAAAGTGGAAATCTATCCCATTGTCATTGTCATTCGTCTCTGCGAGAAGAACATTAAGAAAATTAAGTAAGTCAAACTGCATGGCATGAATAATGAAAGAACTGAGTTCATTCTACATTACTAGTACAAATTTATTTCCTACTGTTGGTTGCAATTTTCAAATGTGCTTTTGAAGTGTCCACTTAGTAAATGCATGTTGTAGTTCCTGAATTACAATGATTCCGTATTTAGGTTCAGGTCTTCTGTTATGACATTTTCAAAATAGGCAACAAACTGAATAAACACTGGCCCTGTGCCATCGACAACTGTTTCAATGCTGTTTCATGCTCCCACCTGGACCTTGAAAAATTTGTTCATTTTGCCTCCAATTTCCATCCCTCTATAACTTTCACATCCTCCATCTGTGACACTTCCCTTCCATTCCTTGACCTTTCTGTTTCCATTTCAGGGAGTGAACTGTCCACTGTCAGCCACTACAAAGCCAATGACTCCCATAGTTACCTTCAATATAGCTCTACCCATCCCATATCCCATTCTCTCAGTTCCCCCTTCGCCTATATCGTATCTGTTTGGATGATGCCATCTTCCAAAACCATGCTGCTGACATGGCTTCCTACTTCCATAACCATGGTTTCACAGCCACTGTGGTTGACAGGGCCCTTAACCACATCCAAAGTATCATGCGTTCTTCTGCCCTTGCCCCTTCCCATCACTCACAACAGCGAGATCAGGTCCCTCTTGTTCTTACTTTTCACTCCACCAGCCTCTGCATTCAAAGGATCATTCTCTGCCATTTCAGACAACTCCAGTAGAACGCCATCTCCAAACGCATCTTCCCCTCTACTCCCCCGTCTGCATTTCACCAGGATCATTCCCTCCGGGACACCTTAGTCCATTCCTCAACCACCAACACCACTCCCCCTTCCCACGGCACTTACTCATGTAACTGCAGAATGTGCAAAACTTGCCCCTTCACTTCCTCCCTGCTCACCATCTAAGCAGCATTTCACCTGTACCTCCTCCAATGTTGTGTATTATATTCGCTGCATCCAATGTGGCCTACCCCACGTTGAAGAAACTAAACACGGTCTGGGTGACCACTTTGCAGAATACCTCTGGTCCACGTGCAAGCATGACCCGAATCTTCCTGTAGCCGGTCATTTTAACACAGCCTCGTGTTCGTGTGCACACTTGTCTGTCTTCGGCATGCTAGAATGCTCTAACGAATCACAGCGAAAACTGGAGCAACATTATCTTCAAACTAGGCACTTTACAACCTTCTGGGCTCAATATTGAGTTCAACACCTTCAAATTGTGAACCCATTCCTTCCCTTTCTTTTAGCTTTGCTTGTTATATTCTCTGTCACCATGTCGTCTTTCCTGTCCCCCCACTCGTGGGACTGTCTGTTCTTTCCATTCACACCATTGTTGTGCCATTCTCACATTCTGATCACTTAATCTGATCTATCAACATCCACCCACCTCCCCCCCCACAGCACACACACACTCACTCACCTCACTCACTCACCTCACTCACCTCACTCACCTCACCTCACTCACTCACCTCACTCACCTCACTCACTCACCTCACTCACTCACTCACTCACTCACGCTCTCTCTCTCTCTCCCTCTCCCCCCACACCCCCTTTTTCTCTCTCTCTCTCACACACACGCACACACATGGCTGTGTTGGATCTGGGTGGACAAGGTCAGAAATCACACGACACCAGGTTATATAGTTCAACAAGTTTATTAGAAAACACAAGCTTTCTGATCCTCACTCCTTCTTCAGACATATAGTCTCAGACAAAGAATTTATAAGTAAAAGACCAAAGGGTGACACCACTTTTGAGGATCTATTAAACAAACCTAAGATGCTGTTAAATCTTTAATCAGTTGGAGGGTTTTAAGTGATTATTATGCACGTGTAAACCCTGAATTTTTTTCAAGTCACTGCCCTGAGAGAAATAAAGTCTTTATCAGTGTAAAGAAGAGGTGACATTTTAGGTCAGACAATGCATGTCAGGTGTGAGGCCTTGTATAGAATCTGTTTGTCTTTTGGTTAGGAATCAGATTGGTTTTATTTCTAAAGTAGGAAATTATAAAACGCCACATTGATTGACTGTCTATAAATTGTGTGCTTTTTGAACAAAATATAATGTATCTACAAATACAAATTCACCCCATAGATTTACATGTATGTGTGGGAGTGTTTGGGAGTGTGTGTGTGTGTGTGTGTGTGTGTGTATGTGTGAGTGAGAGAGAGAGTGTGAGTGAGTGTGTGTGTGTGTATGAGAAAGTGAGTGTGTGTGTGTGAGAATCTGTGTGCGTGCGTGTGTGCGCATGTGAGAATGAGAGTGTGCGCGTGCATGTGAGAATGAGAGTGTTAGAACGAGAGTGTGTGTGTGTGTGAGACTGTGTGTGTGTGTACGTGGAAGAGTGTGTGCACGTGTGAGAACGAGAGTGTGTGTGTGAGCGCACATGTGTGTGTTTGCGCATGTGTGTGAGAGTGTGCATGTTTGTGTGAGAGAAAGAGTGGTGTGTGTGTGTGTGTGTGTGTGTATGCGCCTGTGGGTGAGAGTGTATAGTGTGGTAGGTTCACTGTAATGTGACATGAACCCAAGATCCCAGTTGGAGCCGTCCTCGTGAGTGCCAAACTTGGCTACCAGCCTCTGCTCGGTGACCCTGCGTTGTTGTGTATCCCGAAGTCCGCCTTGGAGGACATTTACCCAAAGATCTGAGGCTGAATGTCCCTGACCACTTAAGTGTTCCCCCAGTGGGAGGGACCATTCCTGTCTGGTGATTGTTGCGCGGTATCCATTCATCCGTTATCATAGCTTCTGCATGGTCTCGCCAGTATACCACACCTCAGGGCATCGTTGCCTGCAGCTATGAGATAGACAATGTTGGCCAAGTCACATGAGTATCAGTTGTGCACGTGGTGGGTGGTGTTCCCGCGTGTGATGGTAGTGTCCATGTTGAAGATTTGATATGTCTTGCAGAGGTTGCCATGACAGGGTTGTATAGTGTTGTGGTCAGTGTTGTCCTGAAAGCTGGGTAGTTTGCTATGAACAATGGTCTGCTTAAGGTTTGGCGGTTGTTTGAAGGGGAGAAGTGGAGACGTCAGGAAGATCTCGGCGAGGTGCTCATTATCATTGATAATGTGTTGAAGGCTGCGAAGAACATAGAGTAGTTTCTTCGCTCCCAGGAAGTACTGGAAAATGAAGGGCACCCTATCGGACTTATCCCGTGTCTGTCTTCTGAGGAAGTCATTATGGTTTCTCGCTGTGGCACATTGGAACTGGCGATCGATGAATTGAGCATTGTATCCTGTTCCTTTGAGGGTGTCCTTCAACACCTTCAGGTGTCTGTCGCGTTCCTCCTCATCTGAACAGATCCTGTGTATGTGTAGGGCTTGTCCATATGGGATGGCTGTTTTATTATGTTTAGGGTGGAAGCTAGAGAAGTACAGCATTATGAGGTTATCCTTGGGCTTGCGGTAGAGTGAGGTACTGAGGTGTCTGTCCCTGATGGAGATGTGTGTGTCCAAGAATGAGACTGATTCTGAAGAGTAGTCTGTGGTAAGTCTGATGGTGGGATGAAACTTGTTGATATCGCTGTGTAGTTGTTTCAGTGATTCCTCGCCATGAGTCCAAAGGAAGAAAATGTCATCAGTGTATCTGGTGTATAGCATTGGTTGGAGGTTCTGTGCAGCAAGGAAGTCTTGTCCAAACCTGTGCACGAAAATGTTGGCATATTGGGGAGCAAACCTAGTCCCCATGGCTGTTCCATGGGTCTTGATGAAGAACTGGCTGTCAAAGGTGAAGACGTTGTGGTCGAGGGTGAAACGGATGAGTTGCAGGATGGCGTCTGGAAATTGGCAATTGGTGGTATTGAGCACTGAGGCTGTTGCAGCGATGCCTTCATCATGGGGGATGCTGGTGTAGAGTGTTGAAACGTCCATTGTGACAAGGAATGTTCCTGGTTCGACTGGTCTGTGGGTGCTGAGTTTCTGTAAGAAATCTGTAGTGTCGCGACAGATGCTGGGGGTTCCCTGTACAGTGGATTTCAAGATGCTCTCAATGTAGCTGGAGAGGTTCTTACAAAGGGTCCCATTGCCTGATACTTCACTTCAGCTCTGATGAAGAGTCATCGAAACATTAGCTTGCTTTCTCTCCAGGGATGCTGCCTGACCTGATGTGATCACCAGCGTATTTTGTTTTCAGTATAAAAAATTTCTCATTGCACCTTTAGGGGCAGGTAACGTGAGCAGAACAGGCAACTTCGACTCAGAAATGCAAAGTGGCTTGTCCTCTGACAAACAAATAATCAAGTTTACCAGGAAAGGCTTCAGGAGTCAGTCTCTGACTTTATGACAGGTCGCACATAAGTTTTTTTTTTCTCATATGCTGTTAGAAGAAAGAGGATCTAACTGATTGAACTGATTGAGGATCTAACTGTCCCAAATTTTAAAGGAATGATTTCAAAACCACACCTGTTTCAATAAGCTGTTCTTTAACAAAAGTACAGTATTTGGAGATTCTATTTATGGGCCATGACACTGTATGTAACATTGTATGTATATTTATATTGTAGGAAAGCTTTCACAATAATCCATTAATTTACATTTGACTCAATGCAAAATAGGACATTTGAATGTAACATGTATTTGTCAAAGCTGTAGAGAAGGCATTTTCTTATTACTGCTTGGTTAATTCAGACAGCAGGAAAGAAGCTGCGTTGCATAGATTCCCTATTACTGAACTGATGACTTTAGTTCCTTTGTTGTCAAGAGAAAGTAGGCCTCCTTCTTGTTGCCAATTCATGAAATAACACAGTGTGGAATTGGAGGAACGCAGCAGGCCAGGCAGCATCAGGGGAGCAGCAAAGTTGGTGTTTCGGGTCGGCACTCTTCTTCAGAAATGGAGAGGGGGAAGGGAGCTCAGAAATAAATAGGGAGAGGAGGGGTGGGGCTGGGAAGGTAGGTGGGATGGTGATAGGTGAGTGCAGGTATGGAGCGATGGGGTCCCACCTATCCACCCCTCCCACCTCACTGACCAATCCCCACCACTGCCTACCTGCACTATCACCATCCCATCTACCTTCCCCAGCCCCCCCCCCCCCCTCCCTATTTATTTCTGAGCTCCCTTCCCCCACCCCCATTTCTGAAGAAGGGTCCTGACCTGAAACGTCAACTTCCCTGCTCCTCTGATGCTGCCTGACCTGCTGTGTTCCTCCAGCTCCACACTGTGTTATCTCTAACTCCAACATCGGCTGCTCTTACTAACACCAATTCATGAAAGTCAGTTTTAGTACTGTAAATGAGAGAACACAGCTTTCCTACCATATGAAATGGGCAAGTACTGTACCTAAAAATGCTTATATTTCATAACCACTGAACATTTTCACAAGTAATTAGATATCTCTTTTAACGCCTCATTCAACAGCAATGTACCAAATTTTACACCTTTAAGAAAAATAACTCACCTTTAAGATAAACAATAATTTATGAATCAATTAAAAATGGCCAGGATGAACTTTTTTTTTTAATATGGTTTCATGCAGGAAACATATCCCAAAAAGTTTGTAGAAATTTTGAAAACACTTGAACTAAAAGCATATCTTGGTTCGTATTAGCAAGCCAATCATTGGGCAGGTGCAACAGAGCACCCTTGACTGAACTTAACCATGAAGGTCTGTGTGGACAGAAACAAAGTCGAGACATTTTGACTCCCATATGTCTCTTCCTTGGAACTGGTTTGGATCTTACCTTTCAGTGAAATTGTCAGAAGTCATTGCCTAATGCAAATTGTGCCAACCAGAGTGTACTACTTAAATATTGCTGACGATTGCATACTTACAAAGTGAGATTACTTCCTTTAACCATTCTCAACTGTGGCTTCACAACTACATGATATGAAAATAGTACAGTGTGAGCAAGTGTCACTTCCTGTGTCTATATGCACATCAAATACTGCAACTTTATGCACACCCATTTTCTTGTTTTTCAAATGGCACTGAGTGCAGATGTGAGGAGAGAGTAGATATGATCTTTTATTATGATTTTTTCTTGGTTACTTGCAACCTTTCCTTTTGTTTGCAGGTAGCTAGATTTCTAAAATTTCCTATTCATCATCTGCTTTAAATTGCTTAACAGGGATGCTGTAAATAAAAGAGCTCATTTGTACAGGCAAGCTTATTTACGTACATGCAGTTTGTGTGAAAGTCTTTTGATTCTAGCAAATTGATGTTGTATGTAAAATGTTTTGGCCATGCATAGTTTTGCAGCACAGAATAACCTCTAGGTGATGGGGAGGCATCAGTTGGAATGTTCCAATGGCATTGTAGGTTCATGACATTCATTAAATGTTTTGATATTTAATTCATTTACTCTCTAACTTATTGAAAATTATAACAGTAGTCAGCCAAGTAAATTGATGATGGTTGGATGGTTTCAAGAACTAACTGAAATCTTGTTCAAAAAGATGGTTCTGGGACAGATTTAAAATTATAGGACATTAGAGATAGGATCCACATGGCCGGTCTACAACCCTGCTCATATGAAAGAATTGCAATCTTGTTACTGCTTCAGAGCACGACTTTGATTGCTTATGCTTTAGTATCATACCTACTAGACGTCCTCTACTCTTTTCATCCTCTTCTTTTCCAAAATAAAGAATGATAAGGGATACAGTTTATGACTGCTTGCACAAGTTTGCTGAGGAATGGGTGATAATTAATCAGACTAGATTTTTTACAGGGGTCTTTTGTGGGTAGACAGACTTCAGTAAGGGTAAAGTCGCCAAAGTCCTACTGGAACATCAGGCTCTTCTCTCAATAGAGAGATGACTGGTGTTGGTTTAACTTGAGGGTCATCATGCTTCAGATGAGGAGAGAGGTTGAGAAGGAAAGTCTTCCATGATAATCTCAGTCAGTGCAGGAATTGAACTCATGCTGTTGGCATCACTCTGTTTCACAAGTCAGTCATCAGCCAACTGAGGTAACTGACCCCCTGTTTCAGTAATGTCACATTATCAGGTAGATGCCAAATGTCATCATTACATGGGAACACATCATTTAGGAATGTAGATGGTTCTTGGTGTGCAAGTCTTCACTAGTGTTGCCAAGATGTTGTGACAGTCCTTAGCGTTCACAGGGTCTGCACACACAGCCACATTTTGATGTTACATTAAGTGAACTGACCCTGCTTGGCACTGACATCTACAATGGGGGAGCATTTGCAAGGGGCTGAGTAGGTTTGTCCCCTCCATAAACTCCAACTGCTTATTTGCTGTCCTGTACTAAGCCCCATTCATCTAGAACATCCGTCTTTCTAATATATATATAATGTATACTCTCTCTCTCCACCACTATAAATCTACTCAACATTAATCCTAATCCCTCACCCATGGCTTGACATTTATCTCACATCAGTTTCCACACTAAAATGTCTTGGGATTGTTTTCGTATTAAAAACATCAAATTAATATAATGATTGTCCTCCAAACAGGACTCCTGATCCAGATCAGTACTATTCAGTATATACTATCGAAGACAACCACTTCGATTTACATCAACCCATCTTTGTGACTGAAGTTCAAGATTTTTACGTGATATCTTCATCTTTCATGATTCTGTGCTGTTGTGGCAAAAGACATGTTGATGTATTCTTGATTTTGTTTAGGAAGATCATGCAGAAATATGGAGTGACAGAGGATTTGCTGTTGCAGTGTTATCAAAGGGAAGAGACTTGCTTGGATACATTGCCGTGCCTGTACAACAGCATTGCCAACGGTTGGAGTGATCTTGATTCACTCGTCAACTTAGTCAAAGCTGCAATAAAGGATGAACAAAAGAAAATTGTCTGGATTGAAGAAAACCCACTCTAGTGCATTTATTTAAGGATTGTGTGTAAGAAAAGGTGAAGAGTTTACTAATGAGCGAGTGAACTGTCCTCTCGTTCTTAACATGTGGGTGGAAAAAGAAATTATTTTTGGTATGTTTTCAGACAAAGGATTTTGTTAAATTTTCATTCATACCTCCGGAAATACACTTTTTTTATTAAATAGAAAAGTCAATAATCTATTTGTATATTTTAAGATGCGCTTCCTCTGTGCAGCCCCTGCCATTCCATCTCTCCTACTGGTTGGGCATCAAGTAGCTTCAGGGAGAGAAAAATAAAAAAAATGAACACTCTTATTGGGTATAAAACAAAAATAAAAACATTTCTTCATTTGTGGGGTGCAGTAATTCCATGAGTACTGACTGAATAAAAGCAGTAATGTCAAAATGATTGAATATTTATAAAAAGACAAGCAGTTGTGGTGGGGAGATTATTTCCAATGAATTTCTATGGTAATGATTAAAGTTATAGAAAGATATATTTGTAAAAATATTATATAGGATCTTTTATTGCACTTAGCAAATGGACTCCGAGAAGGCAGCTCACAATCACCTTCTCAAGGGTAATGAGGGAGCAGCAGCAAATATTGCCCTAATCAGTGGCACCCACATCTCATGAAATAGTAATTTAAAAAAAAAACACATATCTTTGCTATTTTACATACTTTGTAAAGTCCTTTAAGATATTTTTCCATGTTTAAGAAAGATTTATGGAAACATAAGTTGTAAATTGGATACAGTTGCAATGATAAACAATTTGACAGCTGTCAATGCATGCAGTAGCAATGAGTTTATGTAATTTAGATTTTTGGATAACAAAATAAGTGACAGCCACCTTAGTATTTGTCTTAATAATATAACTTATTGCCAAATACTTATGCTGCCATCCGTTGTTTCACTATTAATTGGAACTTTGTGTATTTATATACGTATGATATCTTTTTAAAATGTTTGCTTTTTGTTGACAGCTGCATGCTTGCATGCACTAAAGACTCTGTAAGAGTCCATTTTTTTCATGAAACAGTCATTATATTATTTAAATACTTGAGATGTTTCAAGTGACATGTTAGATTTGCTTGAAACAGTGATATTGTGAACAATACTATAAATATTTGTTGAAGTGTGAGAATTGAATGAATGTAATCTAAGATGTACTATTATAAATCATTTGTCCGATTGTTTCCAAAAGAGCAAATATTTAACATCTTGAGATTATTTAAATATATAAATTGAACAATGGACATCGCTAAAAACAGTGCTAAATATTTTTGTATCTCAGGGATGCATTATCCAATTTCTGTCACTCAAATGACTTAAATAAACTGATTTGTCTCCTTTACATTCAAATAAAAAGTCATTGTTAGGCCATTTTTCAGAAACCAAATAGTCATCCTTGTTAGCAGTAAACTCTAAGTTTCTATTTGTCTCTCACTATATTGAAATATGTACATAAAAAGTTGTATGTAAAAGGGTGTGTTTGGTAATACATATTAAAAATTGTTTGCAAGCAGATGGGAAGTGTTGGAAACTAGGTACACGCTTAGTGCCAGTGCACAATGGCCACATTCCTTATGAGGCAAGAGTAGCAACCCCCACCTCCAGGGCTCACAAAAATGTAAAGAGATCGATCTATTCAGGATTCCTCTGGTTCTAATTCCTCTTATCATTAGGTTGGTCCAGCTGGAAAGATACAAAGGCTTTCCTGATTGGGGCATCTAATTAAAATAGCAGTCAGGCTACCACTATATCATTGGATCCTGACATGTATATTATTAAAGAAGAAACCTGGGTGAGAGTCATTTCCACCTGCTCAAAGGAGCAGGTTAAACTTGAACCTGAGAAGAGAGACTGACCTTTGTAAATAAGCATTGTAGCTAATTTTAACTACATACTTGTTCAATTTCCACAAGATAAACTGCATTAAAGATCAACTATTTGTCACATGCATATTTTCTAGACTCTCACCTTTTCCTTTGACCAGTACCCAGTCCAACGAATGTCCATTTACCTCCAACTGTGTTTCTTTCCAATTTCAGAAATCTTTTTTATTTCACTCAGTTGCTCGAGATAAAAAGTGACCCTATGAAGGATTAAGCTCTGCATGACTTTTCAATGAACATGTCAAACACACTCTGACTCATGCCTCTCTCTGCCATCCTCTTCTTTTATAATTATGACTATTTTGGTGCTGCTTCTCCTTTTGCTTTTATTGTTATGTACTGCATTGTTTCCAATTTCCATCTCACTTTAATGGCATTCCAACTCTAGCTCTTTCTTTCCTGAATTTCTTTTTGTCTCCCATTAGATTTTCAATAAACATCTATGCAAATTTGGTGATAGTACATGCACTTCCCTCGTTTAAGTCATTCATATATATTGTAAATTGTGACCCCAGCACTGAGTCCTGCGGCATTCCACTAAATATGCATTGCCATTCTGAAAATGTCCTCCTTATCCAAATTCTCTGTAATCTATTCGTTAGCCAATCCTCTATCAACACTCCAGGCTCTTCAGTAGTCTTACGTTCAGTATTCTGTTACTCTGCAGCCACATTAACTTTACACCATTTGGGCCTTTGCTATATCTGTCATTTTGGGGAAGCGATGGCCTGGTGGCATTATCGCTGGACTGTTAATCCAGAGACCCAGATAATGTTCTGGGGTCCCAAGTTTGAATCCTGCTATGGCAGAAGATGGAATTTGAATTCAATAAATATCTGGAATTAGGAATCTAATGATGACCGTGAATCCATTGTTGATTGTCAGGAAAAACCCATTTGGTTCACTAACATCCTTTAGGGAAGGAAACGGCCTTCCTTACCTCATCTGGCCTACATGTGACTCCAGCAATGTGGTTGACTCTTAACTGCCCTCTAGGCAATTAGGGGTGGGCAATAAATGCTGCCTAGCCAGCAACGTCCTCATCCTGTGAATGAATGAAGGAAAAAACAGTATGGGGCTATTGGCACTATTGGGTTTATCTGGCAGTGATTGCATGAAAGGATAATTAGATAACAATTTGGACACAGGCATATTGGTATCACTGAGATGGATGTATGTATTGGAATGACTTTTTTCTGAAGTGTGCTATGAAACCAGTATTTTTGTATTGATTTCAGATCTAATTTGTAATTTTTCCTGTGACTCCAACTGCTTAAATTTCATGATTTTTCTGGGCCACCCTGCTGACAATTTTTCAGTCTTTTTGGTTTGCACACTTTTTTAAATGGCTTTTCCAATGATATTCAGCTGGTATAATGCCAAAGGTAGGTGTTAGTTCCCTTCAACATGCCCCACTTTAACCGCTTTGTGGCACCAACTAAAAGTGTTGGTTCTAAAAAAAATTCTTCTCGTGAATCAATGACCAGAGATGAAGGTAAGGGGAGATGTGAGGAAAAATCTTTACACCCACAGGAAGGTGGAAATCTGGAACTCATCACCTGTAAGGGTGGTGGAGGCAAAAACCCTGATAACACTTAAGAAGTATTTATGTATACGCTTGCTATTCTAAAATATACAAAGTTATGGGCCAAGTGCTGGAAAATGAGATTAAAGTAGTTAGGTGGTTGTTTTTGACCACTCTGGACTTGAGTCAAGAGGCCTTTTCCTGCACTGCTGACATCCACTATGCTGACTCAATTGTACCAGAACAAAAGGAAACCTGTAATTTTCTTCCCTTTGCACAACTGTATGTCTGCATTTGAAGAATGTAGTTGATCTTGCTGTTGTACTATAGGGTTCTACTCTTTCGAGCTCAGCAATGTAAGTTTCTCAGAGCCTCTGTGCAATACCACTGCATGTGCCCCTGTGTAAACTGATGAAAAAAGGTCCAGTAATGGTGAAGGAATAATGCTGACTGTTCATTATGCTGACAAAATGTTTCTAACTTTAGCGTGAAGATATTGTGTGAACACCTGGTCCCTTTACAGAAGTCTGAGAGGATGGCAATAAACAGGTGAGGTGCTGCACATAATCAGAATCATCACAGACACACAGTGGCTAAACCAGGGAGTACAACTCACATGTACATTATTTCCAGACAGTGAAACAAATATTAGAAAAGACAGATGGGGTCATGAGAAACAAAAAGTAGATTATTTTTCTAAAAAAATCTAGCATGTATTTATGAAGGAGTGACACTGCAGCACTTGTAGAATTATAAGTATTATTTCTCATACCATTAGAAAATAATTTACACCTGAAAGCACCATCCCTAACCTTAGTACCAAACTGAATAACTAAGGATGTCCCTATGTTACACTCCATTTGCTATTTCGTTTACCACCTGAATAACCTATCTTTGGAACCTTTTTACGGCAGCTTACATGACTGCCTGATTTTGCATCATCAGAAATATTAGATATATTACTCTCAGTACCTTTGGCCAAGTCATTAACATAACTATTGAGAGCAGAGTCACCAGCACTGATCCCTGTGGCACTTCCAGCCTGCCAACTTAATGTTTATCTTTCTTCTCTGCTTTTTGTTAATTAATCCTTCGATTCCATGAGTTCTTTTGAGTGGCACCATATCAAATCCATTTTAGAAATCTACGGATACACTTCTAGTGATACTCCTTGATTCATCCTACTCAAAGAAAAACAAAATATTTGATGAACATCTCTGCCATTTTCTTATTCCTTATGATGTCTTCAGGGTTGTGACCAACAGTGTGCCATTAAGGTCAGTGCTGTGTCCACTGTCGTTCATCATTTACGTAAACAATTTAAATGAGAATATAGGAGGCAAGGTCAGTAAATTTGCGGATTACACCAAAATTGATGGTACAAAGAACAGTAAAGAATGTTATCCAAGAATTCAAGGGGATCTTGATCAACTGGGTTGGTGAAACGAGTAATGGCTGATAGAATTTAATTCTGGCAAATGCAAGTTGTTGCATTTTGGCAAGAAAAGATGGGGCAGGAATTGCACTTAATGTTGGGGGTCTGGGCAGTGTTGTTGAATAGGGTCTCCTAGGGTTACAGGTATATAATTCCTCCAAAGTGGCATCACAGGTAGACAGGGCAGTGAAGAAGGCATTTGACATTCTAACTTCAGTCAGAGCATTGATTACATGAGTTGGGACATCATGTTAAGAGCTGTACAAGACATTGGTAAGGCCACATATGGAGTGCTGCGTGCAATTCTGGTTACCCTGCTATAGGAGGGATGTTACTAAACTAGAAAGGTGCAAAAAAAATTACAGGATGTTACTGAGACTGGGAGGTCTGGGATACAAGGAGAGGCAGGATAAGCTGGGACTTTCTTCCCTGGACTGTTGGAGGCTGAGGGGTGATCTTATATAGGTTTATAAAATGATGAAGGCCATAGATAAGGTAAATAGCCATGGTCTTTTCCCTAGGGTAGGGGAGTCCAAAAATAGATGGCACAGGTTTAGGTTAGAGAAGAAAGATTTAAAAGGGACCTGAGGGGCAATTTTTTTTTTTAAACTCAGAGGGTGGTGCATATGTAGAATGAGCTGCCAGGGGATGTGATAGAGATGAGTACAATTACAACATTTAAACGACATTTGGACAGGTACTTGGTCAGCATGGACAAGTTTGGCCAAAGGCCTGTATCTGTGCTGTATGACCCAATGACAACTGGATCACTCACTCAAAGTTTGTCTCCAGCTGCAAGGAGATTCTCTGAACCCAGCCATCAGACAGGAAACAACTTTCATAACTAATGCAACTACAGAGAACATACTTGGCAGAATGCAAGCTGACTCACACTGAAGCCCAACCAGATTTTTTAAGGCACATTCAACACACAAACCTGATGATTTCCTTAATAAGCAATTTGAATAAATGCTCACCACAAGTACTAATTGATTTGTGGAATTCAGATGAGGAAGTATTGCCATATCTCAAAAATCAAAATGGCTGAACATCGAGCAGAATGAACACGAGCAAAATTAATGGCAAAATCAGCATAAACAAAATAATGATTTCCTAATTCCAGTGGATTGTTAAATGTGATAACTTCACAGCTATGGAAAATGACTTTCAAAAATTACACTTGCTGAAATTTGCATATGTTTGTAAAAGATTGTAAATTGAGAAAATGTTTTTATTAAGCATTTATACTTCCATAAAAAAATTAACTGCTTTAACCACTGTATCCCAACAGAAGTATATTAAAAAATCAAATTATAAAGACACTAAAATAATAAAAATATAGTTTGCAAGTGAGGTGGCATGAAAACTGGTGAGAAAAGTAAAACTAAGTGTATTTCAGTACAGTATGAATTGTACTATAAGTCTAATTGGGACTCAATTTCACACTGACTGTTTTCAGGTTTATGTTGATCCTAAAAGACCATGTTCTTGAAAAGATGCTAAATCAAAAAAATTCTATTGTATGCAGTTTCCCAATTTAAACAAAATAATTCTGATCTGTAATTTTCACTCTTGTTGGAGATTGTCGTTGCCTGTCACTTTTGCATGCACAAACGTTACTTGCCAAGTCAGCTCAAACCTGGATACCAACCAGATTTTGCTGCATAAAAACCAAAAGAACTGTGGATGCTGTAAATCAGGAACAAAAACAAACTTACTGGAAAAGCTCAGCAGGTGTGGCAGCATCTGTGGAGGAAACAGAGTTAACGTTTCAGGTCTGGTGACCCTTCCTCAGATATTGCTGCATTTGTATCTCAGGAGTATCTCAGGAGTCGTAGATAGTGCTGAATATCCTCACTTCTGAGCTTAAGGTTGAGGGAAGGTCATTTTTGAAGCAGCTGAGAATAGCTTAGAATTTAGATACAAAGTTCCAGTTAACACTCAAATGTCTGAATGGGGTTCAAACAGTACATGGAACAACTCAGGATGCAAGACTGTTAAAAAGTCAGTGCAAGTCACTAAATTCAAAGCATTCCTACCAAATGATAGATATGAATATTATGTCTTTTAGCCTGAAATTTGATGGATACAAACAAATGGTTAGAACTAAAGCAATTGATAACTATAAACTATACCCCATAATCAACAGGGGAGGCATTGGCCTAGTGATATTATCGCTGGACTGTTAACGCAGAGACCCAGATAATGTTCTGGGGACCCAGGTTCGAATCCCACCACAGCAGATAATGGAATTTGAATTTGATAAAATATCTGGAATTAAGGATCTAATGATGACCATGAAACCACATTGTTGATTGTTGAGGAAAAACCCAGCTTGTTCACTAATGTCCTTTAGGGGAAGGAAACTGCCATCCTTACCTGGTCTGGCCTACATGTGATTCTAGACCCATAGCAATATGGTTTACTCTTAATCTGCCCTCTGGGCACTTAGGGATGGGCAATAAATGCTGCCTGGTCAGCAATGCCCTCATCCCATGAATGAATAAAGAAAAACATAATTCCTGGGCTTCCAGATCAAAGCAAATCCCAAAAAAAATATTTATCATGAATCTTCTTTACTTTCTCTTGAATCAGAAACAAACTAATGAAGTTCAATAAAAGAAGATAAAACCAAACATGATCAACACCCTGAGGGGAAAACTTAAAAACTTAAGTGAGGTCAAAGCTAGTAACAAATCAATAGGTTTGTGTCTTAAAAGTGGGAGATTATTACCATGCTGTGAAATTACATTTGGGTTTTTAACTACTCTGGTCATTATCCCACACACCCAGTTAAAGTAATTATTACGATCATACCTGGTTCTTGCTTCACCATTTAATAAAAGGTCTGAAAGCATGTTTCAGTGTGACAGAGTCCAGCAACCCTAACTCTGTGACCAATGGGAATGTGGCTGAGGCCCAAGGAGCAAGGGGGACAGGAAAGCACTACAGCCACAGTCAATATCCGGGAACTAGTGTAGACATCACAAGGTTCATGGAAATCAGAAACATTAAACTCCACAAATTCCATAGTCAATGGCAAGGTTGAGATGAGAAGACAGCAGTTGTACTGTTTTCCGTCCTTAGTTAACTCTGAATCTCTTGGAACAAAGTCTCAACCTCTTACTGCCAGGGTCCAGACATAGCAAGATCCTGCATGATGCTGACAACACCATAGTCTGCTCACAAATGCTTGTTAAGTAATTCACTAACTGGTTAACCTGTTACCTGTCAAAACCAAACATGCTGCCACTGCAACTGCAGTCTCACCTCTAAAAAAGGCAAAAGGGAATGGAACACAACATAGATTTGGAATGGCTTTGTTCTGTGCTGCAAAACTCAATGGCAATTCAGTAACTTTATAGCTAAACAAGTCTGTCCTTTGTTTTAGCATTTCCAATAAAGTTAGTCCAAATCAGTCTTTTTTAAATTAGAAAAATAAATCATTTCTCAAATACAAAATATTGTGCCCAAGTTGTACTGTACTGTTTCCTTACTTTTTTAGTAGATACAAAAGAGAACTACACAGCTTCAAAATTACAGAAATGGATCTCCATTGGTTGGACTGAAGTCTTAACTTGAGAAATAAACAATACAATGCAATGTTTATAAAAAAGTTTAATTCTACTGGTAGCTCAATAAGTCAGATAGTAGGTATTTTGTGTGTAATATCTGGCTGCTCACTTGGCAGCTCAACTGTTGTATGTAGATACATACTTACATACTTTAATACTTACAAAAAGCAAAATATTTCATTGGCATGAATTTCTTCAATAGTTTGTTTAATTTTTTTATTGTTGCATTATTATTGCAACACAAAGAAAATGGACAAAATCTAACTGAGTGTGGAGTCCAGAGGCTCAAATTGTCCAGTTGCTTATCACTCCTTGAATTTCCACTCTTGTCGACACATAGGACAATGCTGCTGCACTTGCTGGGAGTTCAGCCATTTCAGGATACAATGCATATGGAAACAATGAGAGCACTGACCCCACACCAATGGGCAGTCATCTCCTGGAACTTTACCTGAAACACAAACATTTCTGTAGTCAGTTCTGTGCAAAGTTTCCCAGCTGGCAAATGGAACTAGATTTATTTTGGATACCTGGTCAGCATGGATGAGTTGGACCGAAGGGTTTGTTTCCATACCGTTTTTCCACACTTCCCTTATGCTACTGGTTCATGAAATATTAAAGCATCTGTGCACATCAGGAAAGCAAAAGATGCAATAAACTGAGTTGGCAACTTCAGCCCAAAAAAGTCTATTAAAAAAAGTTTTGCACTCTAAAATTAAAATTTGTTTTAGTTTCTATCTGAATTCAATTTCAGCTTTAAGCAGAATAGAGTCAGAGAATTACAGCTATACAGCATGGAAACAAATCCTTTGGTCCAACTCATCCACACCAACCACACATCCAAAATAAATCTAATTCCATTTGCCAGCATTTGATCCAAATCCCTCTAAACCCTTCCTATTCAATACTCATCCAGATGCCTTTTAAATGTTGTAATTGTACCAGCTTCCACAACTTCCTCTGGCAGCTCATTCCATCCATGCACCACCCTCTGCGTGAAAAAGGGACCCCAGGGGCAACTTTTATATCTTTCCCCTCTCACCTTAAACCTATCTCCTCTATTTTTGGACTCCCCTACCCTGGGGAAAAAACCCTGTATATTTACCCTATCCAAGCCCCTCATGATTTTATAAACCTCTATAAGGTCATTCCGCAGCTTCTGACACTCCAGGGAATATAGCCGCAGCCTATTCAGCCTCTCTCTCGAGGTCAAACTCTCCAACCCTGGCAACGTTCTTATAAATATTTTCTGAACCCTTTCAAGTTTCACAACATCCTTCCTATAGCTGCGGAATGACCTTATAGAGGTTTATAAAATCATGAGGGGCATGGATAGGGTAAATATACACGGTTTTTTCCCCCAGGGTAGGGGAGTCCAAAAATAGAGGAGATAGGTTTAAGGTGCGAGGGGAAAGATATAAAAGGGACCCCACGGGCAACTTTTTCACGCAGAGGCTGGTGCATGGATGGAATGAGCTGCCAGAGGAGTTGTGGAAGCTGGTACAATTACAACATTTAAAAGGCATCTGGATGAGTATTGAATAGGAAGGGTTTAAGAGGGATTTGGATCAAATGCTGGCAAATGGAATTAGATTTATTTTGGATATGTGGTTGGTGTGGATGAGACCAGAATTGCACACAGTATTCCAAAAGGGGCCTCACCAATGTCTTGTACAGCCACAACGTGACCTCCCAATTCCTATACTTAATGCACTGACCAATAAAGGCAAGCATACTAAACACCTTCTTCACTATCCTGACTACCTGCAACTCAACTGTCAAGGAACTATGAACCTTCACTGCAAGGTCTCTTTGTTCAGCAACACTCCCCAGGACCTTACCACTAACTACCCTGATTTGTCTGTGCAAAATGCAGCACCTCACATTTATCTAAAGTGAACTCCATCTGCCACTCTTTGGCCCATCTGATTAAGATCCTGTTGTACTCCGAGGTAACCTTCGCTGTTCACTACACTTCTAATTTTGGTGTCATCTGCAAACTTACCAACCACACCTCCTATGTTCAAATCCAAGTCATTTATATAAATGGCAAAAAGCAGTGGACCGGCACCGATTCTTGTGGCACACCGCTGGTCACAGCCCTCCAGTCTGAAAAGCAATCCTCAACCACCACCACCCTCCGTCTCCTACCTTCGAACTAGTTCTGTATCCAAATGGCTAGTTCTCCCTGTATTCCATGTGACCTAACTTGAAACTGGCTTTCATATTATTGAGATTATAATTTGATTTTCACCATTTTAAATTTCTACCATTGATCAGAAACCTCGCATGAATCGTGAAAAAGAAATTCCAGCCATTTGATGTTCTATTTTAACAACCATTGCAGTTCAGCTAATAACAGTAGTCATATTTTTTGCACCCAAGTTTGTATCAAACTACAATCTTGCAACTTTTAGGAAAGGTGAAATGATTGAACACAATAATCAGTTACCATGTAAATGCATTTTTAAAACAAGTATTCAAGTGTCAAGCAAAAGCAGGACTCCCAGAATACTGTAGCACCTCAAGACCAATTTCTTTGTTGAGTTGAACCAAATGCCCACAGCAAGCCTATACAATATTTTGCAAATTAATTTCTGTTAAGTCAACATAGACCGAAGTACGTGTATAAATTTTATTTACAGAATTTTAGTAGGTTCCTTTAAATTAACATGTTCATTCACAGTCAGCTACTAGTGTGCTAACTCACATTAAGTATAGTTTAGTTCCCACACCTGTGCTCGGATTTATAGTGGTACTCAGACTAAAATTTTCGACCTTGCTTTCAACTCACTCCATAACTTGCACTCTACCAGCCCTATAAAATAATTGTGTTGCTTTAATTATGGCCTCAAGCAGCCCCAATTTTAATTACTCCACCTTTGTCTTTAGCTGTCCAGGTCCCAAGGTCTGAAATGCCCTCCAGAAACATCAGTCTCTCTCCCTCTCTAGGATGCCCCTTAAAATCTATCTTTTTGACCAAGGTTTTTTGCCATCTGATCTAATAGCTCTTCGTGACTCAATGTCACATCTTTTTTCATAAAGTCTCTGAAGAGCCTCAAAACTTCGTCTTGTTGCTGTAGTTGTATCAATTGCAACCCATGGGACGTAGATACACCTAGATATCTTTAGAAAGTGTGTTCCAACAGTGAAGGAAAACACCATCACAATTCCATGTCAGCATAAGGGTATCCCTATGTACTTGCTGCTCTGGTTCTTCAGAGAAATGGAGTTTGCAATGATTATGGTGCAGCAGCTAATACATTCAGTGAAAGGAATACAGTCTGAAGCACAGTACCACTTCAATATGCATGAGAAACAATTAAAGAGCAAGTCAGTCTAATGAAACTTACTTCTTTTACATTTTGTAAATGGCCATTTCTAAGCCAGATTACAGTTCTATCCCATTTATAATAATTATTATAGTGGAAAGAAGAAATTATTGACCAGAAAGCACCTTTAGTGTGGTTCCTACTTCATGTAGCAACAGAATGAACTTTAAGAGGAAAAGAACAAAAGAGAAATATGGCACAGAAACAGGCCCTTCAGTCCTTCAAGGCTGTGCCAATCATCATGCCCTGACTAAACCAAAAAACAAACCTTCTGCCCTTATTTGGTTCATATCCCTCTATTCCCTCCCTATTCATGTAACCATCCAGATGCCTCTTAAATGTTGCCAATGTGCCTGCTTCCACCACCTCCTCTGGCAGTGCATTCCACGCTCCTACCACTCTGCACAAAAAACTTTCCTCATACATCTCTCTTAAACTTCTGCTCTCTTACCTTGAACCTGTGCCCCCTGGTAATTGAAAGTTCAACCCCGGGAAAAAGCCTTTGACTATCCACCCTATCTATGCCTCTTGTAATTTTATAGACCTCTATCTTCTCAGCTGCCGTCTTTCCAGTGAAAACAATCCTAGTCTTTTTAACCTTTCCTCATAGCCATTGCGCTCAAGACTGGGCAACATCCTGGTGAACCTCCTCTGCACTTTCTCCAAAGCTTCCACATCCTTTTATTAACGTGGCAACCAAAACTGCACTCAATACTCCAAATGCGGCCTAACAAAGGTTTTATATAGCTGCAACATGTTTTGCCAATTCTTGTACTCTATGCCCCGGCTGATGAAGGCAAGCATGCCATATGCCTTCTTTGTCAGAGATGGCAACGCCATCTGCCATTTCTGTGCCCAAGTTGCCAATCTATCTATATCTTGTTGTATCCTTTAACAATCGTCAGCACTATCAGCAATTCCACCAATCTTTGTGTCATCTGCAAATTTATTAATCAGACCACACACATTTTCCTCCAGATCATTTATATATACTACAAACAACAGAGGACCTAAGACTGATCCCTGTGGAACACCATTAGTTACCGGTCTCCATTCTGAAAAACACCTTTCCATCGTTACCCTCTGTCTTCTATGACCAAGCCAGTTTTATTTCTATCTAGCAGCCCACCCTGAATCCCACATGATTTTAGTTTTTGTACCAATCTGCCATGAGGGACTTTATTAAATGCCTTACTAAAGTCCATATAAACTACATTCACAGCTTTTCCCTCATCAATTATCTTTGTCATCTCTTCAAAAAATTCGATCAGATCGGTGAGACATAACATTGCCTGTACAAAACCATGCTGCCTGTTGCTAACTAGTCCATTTTCTTCCAAATGTGCATGTATCCTGTCCCTCAGTATCTTCTACAAAAGCTTCCCCACCACAGATGTCAGACTCACCGGCTTCCTTTCTTAAACAAGGGAACAACATTGGCTAATCTCCAGTCCTTTTTAGATGATTACTCACCTTGCTTAAGTCTTAAAAAAAAACTTAATGTTGGAAATGAATTTAGGTTAGCTTGTGTTTAACTATATCCACATCATTTAAACTTTATCTTCCCAAAAATGTAAATATGATTTGAGGGATGGGGTTTGGGACATCTGGGGGTTAGGGGATCTCCAGTCTCCCATTTTGGAGGCTTGGATCCCCCTCCCCAATACTCTCCCATTCTTACCCCTGTCTCCCGTATTCTCCCTCCCTCTCACTCCCTTCCTTTCCCCCCGGTCCCCATTCTGTCCCTCTTTTCCTTTCCCATCCCCTTACTCACAGTCCGGGCAGCAGCCGTTAAACGCCGTGCGGCAAATGCCACAATTCTCGTCGTTAGCCACCCAGAACCAGGTAGCGATGGCGTTCCAGCGCTTCACCTTGACCCGCATTGCAGGCGGTTCTACAGCCCGAGTCCTCCCGTCACAGGCGAGGGGACGGGGAATCTCCGGATCCTGTCCGTCACAGCCCGGGGGGAGGGGATCGAGATCTCCGGATCCTGTTCGCAATCACACTCCATTCATCACGTCTGGGCAGGCCTCCGCAACAAAGCGCTGAACCGAATACATTCTTTCGAAACACATTTCTTTTTCGCGCCACAGGGCGGGGAAACAAAATCCTAAAACGGGCGTCAACAGAACAATAAGGAAGTTTCAGAGTTTGGATATTTTTTCCACCAGCGATTTTGTTTCTGGGTTTGATTCCCCGCGTCTGGACGTCCGTTTCAGGCGCTCTGATTGGTTCAAGCAACGCCTCTCTCTGATTGGCCGTTCACTTTGGCGCCTCTGATTGGTGGGTTCCAACAGAAGGGAGGGAGGTTTGTTTCTCTTGTATGTTGTGAGATTAGAACCATTGAGAAAGAGCATGACCTCTGGGAGGAATCAGGTCCACAGAGTCATAAAGATCTACAGCACAGAAAAAAGGCCCTTTGGTCTTTCACTTATACACTGGTCAAAAACAACCGTCTTAACTATTCTAATCCTATTTTCCAGCACTTGGCCCATAGCCTTGTATGCCAACTGTACACTAAATACTTCCTTAATGTTATGAGGGTTTCTGCCTCTTCCACCTTTACATGCCATTAATTCTAGATTCTGAGTGAAAAAGTTTTTCCTTACATCTTCTCTAAACCTTTTGCCCATTGCCTTAAATCTATGCCGTCAGTCATTGATCCCTCCAGCAAGAAGAAAGGTTTCTTTCTGTCTGCCCTATCTATGCCCCTCATAATTTTATACATCACATGCACGTGTGTCCTTTCAATCTCCTCTGTTTTAAGGAAAACAACCCCGGTGTGTCCAATCTCTCCTCATAACTGAAAATCCCAGGCAGCATCATGGTAAATCTCCTCTGCACCCTCTCCAGTGCTGTCATATCCCACCTATAATGTGGATTCCAGAACTTCTCATAAAACTGTTGCTGTGGCCTAAACAACATTTTATACAGTTCCAGCATAACATCCCTGCTCTTAACCTCTAATCTTCAACTCACAAAGACCTTCTGATCCCCAGTATCCACCTGTCCTGATACCTTAAGGGACCTATGGACAAACACAGGTCTGATCCTTGGGAATTTCCCAGGTTCTATCATTTTGTATTCCTTTGCCTTGTTTCTCCTGCCCAAGTGCATCAGCTCATATTTATCCAAATTGAATTCCATTTGCCACTGATCAACCCATCGATCAGCCCATCCATATCCTCCCGCAATCTAAGGCTATCCTCCTCACCGTTTACCACCCCACCAAATTTTATATCATCTGCAATCTAACTCTACATTCAAGTGCGTATTATTTACATAAACTACAAACACAAAGGGGAAAAAGACTGATCTCTGTGGAACCCATTAGGATAGAACAGGTTCATTGGGAAAGACCAGATCCATTGGGAAAGATCTGATTCATTGAAAGAGAACAGATCATTGGGAAAGAGGTGATCCACTGGGAGAGGCCAGATCCAACATTCCATCTGATTATTGAAGGGGGATCCATTTACCTGTTTGGTGATGGATGGATGGATCCATTGGTTTTATTTATGATTGATGATTGATTTCATCAGCCTGTCTAATTGTTGATGATCCATCAGTCTGTTTCATGATGGATGGGTAGATCCATCTATCATTCTGCTTGATGATTGACAAATTAATTCTTGACAGATGGATCCATCAGCATATTTATGCATTGAATAATTGAAATTTACAGGATAGAAGTGTATTCATGGTCAATATTTAGCCATCCAGCCTAATTCCACTTCCCTTGGCTTGAACCACAGCCTTGTAGGTTATGGCACATGTAATGTACTTTTAATTACTTTTAAATATTAGGAGGGATTCTGCTTCTACCACTCTTTCAGACAGTGAGTTCCAGATCCTCATCACTCTGTGATATCCCTTTGCCTTCCTTACCCAAAATCTATGCCTCTTCATTAGGTGTCTGGAACCAAAGGGAACATGGCTTTCCTTTCCATTCTGTCTGGAGCCCACAATTTTATAAATTTCAATTAGTCTTTGCTCACATTCCACAACTTAACCATAATTCTCTAATCTGGACAACTTTCTCATTAAATCTCTACTCTGTCAAATGGAATTACATCTTTTGTAGAATCATAGAATCCCTGCCATTTAGCCCACTGAGTGTGCACTTACCCTCCAAAGAGCATCCCACCCATACCCATGTCCTATCCCCGTAATCCTGCATTCACAATGGCTAATCTACCTAACCTGTACATCTTTGGACTGTGGGAGGAATCTGCAGCACCCTGCAGAAACCCATGCAAACACAGGGAGAACATGCAAACTCCGTACCGACAGTCACCCAAGGCTGGAATCAAACCCGGGTCCCTGGTGCTGTGAGGCAGCAGTGCCACAGAGGCACTATGCCACCTCCCCGCCATCGTCACTTTCTATAATATATTAATATAGCAAATGGTTAACCAAATATTTGGGGTAAACAAATGAACTGATTGATTAGCTAGAACTAAAGAGGTTGTTCTGTTATGTCGCAGAGTGATAGTGTCCCTGTATTTGGACCAGAAGAAGGGCCAGATTCAAGTTCCACTTCAGGATGTGATGATCACGGAGTTGTGTCATGACATGACAAACAAGTTGATTAAAACATTGCCGGGGGGGGGTCTTAAGAGTCATAGAGTTGTACAGCATGGAAACAGACCCTTCAGTCCAATTTGTCCATGCCGACCAGATATCCTAAATTATCTCATTTGCTAACATTTGGCTCATATCCCTGTAAACTCTTCCCATTCATTTGGCATATTCAAGTCAGTGAATGATAATGAGACTTCGCACCTCCCTCATTCAGGAGCACTTTAGTGGTCCCAAATACAGCTGTGGCTCAGAAATCTAAATCTCTTACAGAATCATAGAACAGCCATTTGTCCCGTGAGTCCACCCCAGCTTGTTTGAAGAACGAGCAATTTGCTCTAATCTTTGACTGGAGGTCTTGTGGTATTTGTAGAATCCCTACCTCGAGGCTAGAAACTCTGGGCTCAAGTCCCTGCCAAAACTGGATGGCCATGAAAGGAGTGTTCATGCTGATGGTGTAGCAGCATCTGTGGAGAGAGAAAAACACTTAATATTTTTAACCTGGTATGATTCCTCTACAGAACTGAATGGCATTGGAAAATACGACCCTGGTAGAGGAGGAGCAGGAGGGCAGATATTATAGAGACCCAATGCAGAAGACAACGGGGTTGTTATTAGTGACGAAAGAAAAAAAGGTTGTAAAATGATTGTAAATTAATGTGTGAAAGGCAGAAATTTATTCCTTGCTACTAAATGCAACATAAACAAAATGCAAACACGACAAGGTTGTGGGAGAAGCAGTGAAGGAAGAGAATGTAAGACAAATGGACAACGGACATAAAGGGGTCAGTTTCTGAAGTTATTGAATTCAATATTGAGACCTTGAGGACTAAGCAGAAGGAAAATGAAGCGTTGTTTGTCGAGATTGCTTTGTGCTTTGTTAGAACATTGTAGCAGGCCCAGGACAGAAATGATTGCATAAGAGTTAGGTGGCTTATTGAAATATTGAGCAACTGTGAGGTCAGTGTCATTCCTACGGACAGAATGGGGGTGTTGAGTTTCTCTATCATTTTCTGTGTTTGTTTAAAATTTCCAGCATCCACAGTATTTTGTCTTTTTTCATGGTACAGTTTAATGGGTTAATAACCAACTTGGGAACCAATTCTCCATTCCCCAAAGGGGGAGTAAAAAGGTATGTGCGTGAAGATATATTTTATGAAAATCTCTGCTCTTGCTTCATTCTCTTGAAACTTTTTTTACTTCTTTTTATCCAATTTCCATTGGAAGGCTGTGACTGAACTTACATTCACCCTCCTATCAGGCAGCTCTTGTTGAACAATGGTAGTGTACCAACCTCTGGGCCAGGATGTCTTGTTTCAAGTCCCACCTGGTCCAGAAGTGTGCAATGTCAGAACAAGATGATTGAAAATAATTTGTTGTGACACAGTTTTAGCGTTCCTACCCCCAGGGCCAGAACATCTAGTTCAAGTCCCACCTGCCATATGTGTCTTAACATCTGAACAGGTTTGTTTTAAATAAAAGGTGTCTTGGCATCTATCTCACTGAATGGCATGGATCAGAATTGGCATTCCACAGTGACCAGACAAACCTGCAGTGCTGCAACTGTGGTCCAATTCATAATATATGAAGTTCCAGCATCACTTCCCAGCTCTTATAATCAAGGCAAGTATCTCGTATGCTTTCTCGACAATCTTTGCAACTCTGCATAAATCTTAACTTCACATTGAACAGTTAAGTACAAAAAAGCAAAGTTTCAACTTTTAAAAGAATTGCTGATTCTAGAAATCTGAAATAAAATCAGAAAATGCAGCCATCGCTGCAACATCTGATCTGAAATATTAATTCTTTTTCTCTCTTCATAGATGCTTTGCTGCCAGATTTGCTGAGCGGTTTTAGTATTATTGTTTAAGTTTTAACTCTCCTAGGTGGTGTGTGTAGTTATGTAGCACACAACTGCCCAGATTATTGGAAACATGCCCCGAAATATGGAATGTCAAATTCCTATGGCCGTATCAACCCTATAGACAACATGGTGGTGCTGGCTTGAATGTTTCACTCAATGGCATATAAGTAGTATGTAAAAGCCATGGATATTTTCTTATGTACTTTTCATCACCTTACACAAACAAGATCTGTGCTAACATTTATTAACTGTACAGTGGAGCATATGTGATCACTGCTGTCTTTGTTTTTTGCAATGACAGTGTGTAGCAACAATTTCTACGTGAGTGAAGAAGGAGGGAAAATGAATAGGTCAGGTGAATGCATAGTTTGAAAGGGAAGCAGAAGTTTTACGTCCATAAGTTGAACCCAAAGTTGAAGATATACATTTTTGTTTTGTTTTATTTGGATGCAACAATTCACAATTGAGACTGAAAGCATTTTAACTCTTTCGTTGCAAAAAGACTTTGGACAAAGCTGAGTTTCAATTGTGGCACCTGGGACACCAGAATAATACCTGTTAGTTATGTACCTACTCAATAATCAGTATCATTATCTAATCCCGATATCATCAAATTGATCAATTAAATCTATATAAAGAAAAAATAATGACTTGGTATTTATATAATACTGCACTCTTCCTTTCATGAACGCACCAAAGTATCACATACGAGTAATTCGTCTGAAAT